CTGATTGATATGTGTCAGCAAAATTAATATTTGCTGCCAATCGGAGAAAAATTAATTCGTTATCCAGGCTCTCTGATAGCAAAAATGTTTCAACGCAGTGACATTTTGGGGCCATTGATCTGATTTGTCCTCACTACAGTATTATTATTTTTTTCATAATTCTGAGAATACCTTGTATTTTGATAATTATTGTGAGTTATTCTTTGATAATTATTTTTCATATGGTCGAATTGAATTGTCTCACAATACAAGTTACTCGAGATGATTTCAATGAAATAAACAGCATAATTTAAACTAATTTGTATAAATTGTTAACATTTGATTCAAGTTGAATTCTGGCGATCACGAGAGTTAAGATAGTCGCACAAAAATTCATAGTTTTTCTACTGGTAAAAAGACAAATTGCATGTTTCAATCGGATCGAAAATGATTATTTCTCTTTTCAAACAAGGTGTCACTCTGAATGTACTAATTTGTGGACAAAACTGTTCATCATTAAAAATACAGACCTTCAACTGTCAAATTCGAAGATGAAAATTACATTTTCAGCAGAAAATATTCAATTTTGAGAAAAAATTGCAGTGTATCCAGGAGAATCAGAATGGCGGCAGATTATTTAAATATAAAAAAAGTCCATGAATCTATGAAACGTTTAAACTGGAGAATTCACACTCGGAACTCTCAGATTGGATCATATTCCATTCCGGTATCGAAACAATTTTATTCTGGCAACGGGTTGACGTAATTTTGTTGGAAAAATTCTTAATGCAATTCGAATGTAGTACGATATTTTTTCATACCATAATAATGCCATTAGATTTTTTCTCGACAAAAATAACAATTACAATATAGTTTGGACAATACGTAGGAAATCTGAATGAAGTTATATTAATTTTATTCAATATTCCCACGTATTCGCGAAAAGGATGAAATAGAACTAAAAATATGTATGGAGAAACTTCAAGAAAGAGAAAGTGCATCTTCTTATAAATATTTATCATTCACCCTGTGTATTAAACAGGATGTGAATGATGTACAGACATTTTTTGTAATCCGAGCGAGAACACAATATATATGATTAGATCGACTATCCGTGACTTCGATGCAAGTATTAGCTATGCCAGTCTCGAGAACACAGCCGCCGTCGCACATCAACATAGGTAAACACTTATGATTATGCCGGTCTTATGGTACCCGCGCTTCCGTGACGCGAGTTTATCGGTTTCCTCCCATCCCAGAAAGTGCCTAACGGGCCCATAGAAGTTACCACTTCAAAAATTGAATTCGCCCCAGAATGTTTATCACCCTGTGAAGTCGCTACTGGGACAAACATCCCACACGTTCCCGAGGGGAACGAAATGGGATATAAAAATGCAATTCGTTCGATAATCGATTTTTCATCATCGCGACCGTATATAAACCACCCTCGTTGTTCGGGGCATTCTTGCCATTGCCTCGTTGGCACATATTGGGCTCGAGGGCGCTTTAGATTTGGATTTTGAGGCACTCCCAACGATATAGTAGACGTCGAGAGTCCCGTTCGGATGATACTTATGAGCGTAGCGGAGACAGCATAATACGCATAAATATCACGATACTCTCGAGAACTTTCTTGGAGACCAAAACATCAACAATTCATTTTTTGAATTGACTCGGAATTGACTTGATGGAGATTCATAGTTACACTGAAAAAATTAGTCGTTAGTGAATACCAAACGTTTAGTAAAATAGGCGCCAGTGACTACATTCAACTAATAATACCACTACAAAATTGTATAATACTACTATATCAAATATTACCACTACAAAACAGTTTGATACTAATAGTTAAGTTGAATAGAATGGCGACCGTTGAATATGATTTCTGCTGTTGAGTTGGCGGGAATTCGGTCGAAATGTTGGAGAAAACCAATTTTCAAATTGTCGACGTTTCGGAACTTTATTGTTTCATCTTCAGGACACTGAAGTAAAAACAAGAACATACATATTGATCTTCCTGTAGAAGTTACAGCAATGAAACTTCGTATCTATGTATTCGATGTGTTCCTCTATTGAATTACTACTTCACCGGTTATACCAACCCCTCAAATTTTGATACAGGGTGAATCAAAAAATAAAAAATATCAAAATTTGCCATTGAATAACTAACACCCTGTATGAGATTTTGCGTTTAAATTTCGTATAGGGGTATTCCAGCTATGCCTGAATAAAATAGGCTACTCTCTGTTTCGAAAAAAACTGCCCAATAGTCGTTTTTGCAATTTTGACCTCTTCAACAAACAAAAGTAGGCCTTGTGAACCTGAATATTTCAAATTTGTCCACATTTTCGATTAGAGCTCGTTGAGAAGCATATTATAGAATTTTCGTTTCTGAAAATCGGTCGACGGGTTCCGAATTAGAAGGGTGTTGCGGGTTGAAATCGCACACACTGTATATTGATATATTTTATGAATCCAATATTCTTGCATTCTTTTAGAAATTTCACGAGTATTTCTATTAGCTCCTATTGCAGAAGGAATTCCGATGAGGAATCAGAGATATCACCTGCATCGCTGCATTTTTTGTGATGGCATGTGCGAATTAATGAGTAGCCGAAAAACACGATTCGTGATAACCTCAATGAAAAGTATATATATTTGAAATCAGAAGAAATAGCTCTACTGTTCCGAAAAATGAAATACAGGGTGTTACATTGAAAAAATACCAGTTTGAGTAAAATGTTCAGGTTCACGATGCTTTTTTGGATTTTCTAGTACTTGATTCTGAATGCCCATATACTTCATGTTTGTCCATTTGAACGTTACTGTAAGACTTATATTGGCTGAGTTAGCTATTGAGTAAAATATAAACAATCACCCTGTACATATGAGGTTGTTCGTTCCCCTCCAGACTGAAGTGTTCTATATTGTAATTTCACAGAAACAATGCTAATCTTTGGAAAGCCTCTTACGTTTCGAATCTCTTTTACACCCTTGTATATTATGCAAATTCGAGTCGGGATTAACCCGAGAAAAAGAAGACATTCTGTTTCTAGAGAATAAGGTCGTGTAAAAAATGCTGCAAAATAAAAAACTCGAATTTATGCGAAATGATATGGTAATCATGAGAACAGTTTTCTTTGCTTTCGGAAGCTATTGGCAACGAAAATATAATATGGTGTGGAAATATGCGCTCCATCCACATTTTAAAATTAATTTAACATGGTGCTTCTGATTCGACTGGTACAATGAACTAAACTAACCTTGGCTTGCTTAACTTTCATATATCCTACTTTCCCAACCTGAAGGATTAGTTACCTGTGGACGGGTTCGATAAACCTTAATTTTCGGAAATTAGGCACAATATATACATTAAAATACAATGTACCCGATTACCTCATCATTCTTGATGGTAGGATAAACTTCCTGAATAGCTTCATTATAAAGTTTTTTAGAAAGAATACTGTCTATCAAATTAACGTTGTATCCGTTGTTGACTGCAATATGTTTTATGATATTGAGTTCTTTATTGAAATTTTCTTCCGAAAGAGGAATATTCACTAGCCTGTGTATCATACTGTAATGATATTCCCCTTAGAGGGGTTCTAGAAACATCAGCAGGAAGGTGGGAGTACAACGATCATCCTGTAACATGCATTCCAGATTGTTCTCCAACCTCCCAATGATTCCTACATGCACCAGCATATTTCCGAACACTCAATATATGCCGCGGTGACAAATAACGTGACAGAAGATTCTGGAAACAATCGATGGAACATTTAGAGAGAGAGGTATTGTTCTAAGAAGCTTCTATACCTTTTCAACTTCGATTTCAGAATCAGTAAGTTATATTTTGGAGAAGGTGAACTCGATTTCAGAAATGGTTAGCTCAATTTCAGAATCGGTGAGTTGAATTTCAGAAAAAGTCCATTCAATTTCAGAGATGATAAGTTGTATTTCAGAATTGGTAAGTCCAATTTCAGAAAGAAAGGTTCAACTTGAAATGAATAATTCTGATTGCACATTCACTTTTGTGAATTGAATAAGTCACTGCATGAATCTTATTATTCATAGGATGATGATCGTGCGTTTAAAATGGACATCCACCTGCACATTCAAGAACATATAAAGGAAATTGGCATGGAGGAAGAATTTCAAGATGTTCTCATTTTCTGATTGGCACCTTATGATTGACCCAATAATTGAACATTGTATGGAATGCCTCCAATTGCAAGAGCATCACCAAAGGGTTATAGCCGCGGGGATCCAAACAGATTGTTTTTGATGTCTTGAAGAATGTGCAGATCAATCAATGAGAATATACACATCGAAAGTGTTTGAATTCTTTCAAATCATCTGCAACGCCACTAATCTTTTGCGATTCGAATGGGAGACATGTCTGTATGGATTCATTAAATTTTGAGTTCAGTATAATAATTATGTTATCTTTTGATTGTGAAAAATTTCAATATTCTTAAGATGGTTCGTTCTTTTTACATGCAACTAAAAATATGTCGAACAAATATAAGGATTTATCATCTGAAATACAACTCACCATTTCTGAAATTGAATAGACTTTTTCTGAATTTCAACTCACCGATTCTGAAATTGAGTTTACCATTTCTTTAATCGAATTAACCAATTCTGAAACCGAGTTTACCTTCTCTGAAATATAACTTACCGATTCCGAAATTGAAGTTGAAAAGATATAGAACAAAAAGAAGGGTACAGAAGATCATTCGAGAACGTTCGAGCACCAGAGCCTACCATGGGATCTCATATAAAAACGGCCGGACAACTGCCGTCAGTCAGTCAGGCAGCGAGTGTCAGAGAGACAGTCATATACCGCGTTATATAAATCATTGTACATAAATAGTAGTTATAAGTTCGATATAAATTATCGTTTCTTTAGTTCAAATAAATCAGCTCGAAAATAAGTATTGTCGTGTTCGCTTCTGCACCCGAATAACGTAACAATACTATATGCTGCAATTTTATGTGGATATGGATATTATTTCCAGAATGGAACAGCGTTTCCAGCCACGACAGGGTGAAGCGGCAGCTGTCCGTGTCGAGCGACAGCAAGCTGCTCGACGACGACATCCGAGAGGAGACGAAGGTGATACTGAGGCCGCGGAAACCGCCGAGGCCCAAATCGGAGGTGTTGCTCAATCAAGGTCACGCCGCCGAACACCTGCATCGGCGGACGAAGCGGTATTCGGCCTTCGGGGTGAGTGATTCAAATTCAAATAGCGAGATTAACCCGTCGAGTTGAGGCTTTGCACCCCTTAGTGGTCACTTTGGAGACCTACAGAACATATATTCCCGAAGACTCGTTCATCCAACGAACAGCGAGGCTCTGGAACACATTGCCAAGGGAGGTGTTCCCCGAGGCATATAACCACCAGAACTTCAAGAAGAAAACCAATTCCTACCTTATTTCCCTTGGCACTCACGATGTTCTCGGAACATTACAGGATATCCCTTTTCGTGGGAGCCAGAACATAAAAAAAGTGAACTGTACAGGGTGTCCCAAATTGCTTGATTTTGGCAGTTTTCCCTTTTTCCAGAACAGCTAGAGAAAAACTGACCAAAGGATCTAGCGATCGATTTTTGTGAAATATCGATTGATGAAAACCGCATTTCGATATCTCTAACCGTTTTCGAGATATAGGCGAAAATTTACATTTGACCGACTCCGAAAATATACCATTACATTCTCATTTTTGAATATTTTTTTGAACAGAAAAAACTTTCTACAGGCACTTTTTAACATAGAATGAGATACATCTGCCCAAAAAAATATATTGCGTATCAATTGTTTGTTCTTGAAATAAAATAAAACAGACAAAATCAAGCAATTTGGGACACCCTGTTCAGGGTATATCTTTATGAATCAATGCGAGCCTTACAGAGTGATCTAGAATAAGGTTCGTATAGTCTGGGAGGAAATTCTTCAGGTGAAGAAAATAAGAACAATTTTTTTATATCAACATTTGTCCTTAAATACAGTTTTCTTCAATTATCACTTATAACTTATAATATCCTTTGCAGCAGAATTATCGGAAATTAATACTGCTGCGTGGGGGATTCGGTAAGAAAATTTCATAAATTGGAGTTACTTTTCGTATGATGATATTATGAACCACACGACCCCTTCTGCGTAGTGTCAAATGAAATTTGACACTTAGGTATAACTCGTTTTTATTAACTAAAATGTGAGAAACATTAAATAACAAATTGGTTACCTGAAATCCAATGTCTTCATAGTTTTAAATTCAAATGAAACTTGAAAGGTGACCCTACTTGGTCATAGAGTACATATTTGGCATATCTCTCGCTCCAGCAAATTTCAGGATCCTTACCCAACGATTACACGTATGATACAGGGGTGTTTCCATTAAAACTGAGACACAAGACACACTGTATATACACTGTTGATGGCATTTGTTGTGCTATAGTTCCGAAAAATGATTCAATAACACCGTCTCCGAGGAAGAACTGCAAGTCCTTTTATCATCCATTCGACTTCGCGGTTACGTAGATTACTAACCACTAAATTCGCAATTTATTGAAATCAAATCACAAAATCACACTGACAGATATTTGATTACCTCGAAACAATGATGAAGATGACTGCAACGCAGGTGTAATTACTGTTGAAAACTTCACATTTCACGTCGATAATTTTCCGATAATATAATGTGATATCTTCCCAATATTGATTCGTCCTTTTTCTTATAAAAAAAAAATAGTGTATTATACATGGGAAAAATGATGAAAAAGTAAAAACTCTATAATTTCACATTTCCACTTAAATTCATAAGTTCATCGTGATGTTGATTTGTTGAGAAACCATCTTTAACTCTAGGGCTCTAGCGCCCTCAGGCTCAAGAAGCATTTTCGGACACTATGTTGATAAAAACAATTTTTCGAGTTTATGAATGAAGAAAAGGGTTCTCAATAAATAAAGAACCCGTTTTCTCATTCATAAACTCGATTTTCCGACTATGGGCATCGACAACAATTCCACAACTACATTTTTTCAACTCCAAAACTTTTAATTAGGCTGAAGACGGTCTTTTATAAGACCGAAACATGTCCCTTATGATTGTGTAACAACACCATCAAATAATGAAGATGATGAAAAGCCCTAATTTCTAGTGATATCGGAAAATGAAAAAACTCCACCGCCCCGCATGAGAGTCGAACCACAGTAGAGAGCTCTCTGTAATCCTCACGTATACTGAATAGGAAGTAATAGAATTAATAAATTTCGTCTGATTCCAATTTTGTACCCCAAAATGAGCAAAAATAATATTTTGAGCACATAATATGAATAGTTAAAATCGACTGTGCACGAATAAAAAGCACATCGTTGAATAGAAATGTTGATGTTCTTTTCAGATATGGCAAAAAAAAATTAGAAATTCGAATGTATAGGGTGTTGTTTTCTGGCAGAAAGAATTTGTGAATTTTAAGTGAAGCCGTACCTGGATTTCATCTTTTGTTGTTGCCTCCATTAATTCCACAGGGTAGATTGAGCAAGTGTACCAATTTTTAAGAATATATACAGGTTGGTTGGAAAGTTATGAGACAAAGAAGATATGGACAAAATTGATGAAACATCCTTTATCTCGGTTATAAGAAGTCGAAGACCCATTAACCATGGGTTTTTTTAAAGCACCCCAGTGACCCCTATCCACAGTTGAATTATTTACCTTTCCCAATGAAACACCCTGTATAAATGGATTATTCAGCTTGGATATTCAAGGACACGCAATAGAATTTGCTGATGGATGATACTGCACTCATTTATGAAGGAGAAAATTGGGAACAACTGAAATTAACCATTGAAGAAGATATGCGTTTGGTGAAGAATTGGTTCGATCATAAATTACTAACAATTAATTTCGAAAAGACAAATTTCCTACCTTTCAGTTGCTATAAACGGAATATCCCGACTTTTAACCAAATTGATATAAACAATGGCAACCAGACCTTCAGTATATAATGAGTAGAAATGATATCAAGTATCTAGGGGTGATAATAGATTCCCACCTTAAATGGGAAAATCAGATACATTCAATAATTAAAAAACTACAATTTGTCCTTTTCAAATTCAAAAAACTGAAACATATATTGAATTCGGCTCAATTAAAAATGTTGTATCATGCCCTTGTAGAAAGTCATTTGAACTATGGCATACTCGGATGGGGAGCTATTACAAAAACATATTTGAACCACCTTGTGATATTGCAGAAGAGATTCATCAGGATATTATTGAATGCAGATTTGAAATACCCATCAGACCAACTCTACTTAGAATCGAAGATTCTAGACGTAAGGCAATTATATTATTTCAATATTACCGTTTACTATCATAGAAATAGATCTGACCATATTCTATCGAAACACAATTATAACACACGATCTAAAAGGGAACACCATGTACCATTCCATGTACCATTCATGACGAAATCTATAGGTCAGAGGTCATTCAACTATTTGGCAACCAAGTTATACAATAAAATACCTAAGGAAATAAAAGAAACAAAAACTATATATAGTTTCAAATCGAGACTGAAAATTCATATTTCTCAAACACCGAGAAAACTCATACATGATGTAATCGAAAATTGAATTGAATTGAACAATCAAAATGACAATCCAAAATAAGAATCATACTTTCAACACTTTTAGTAAATAATATACATATAGGTATAGATATAGCGATTATACTATGCAACTAGTTTGATAGTTTGATTTATTTATTTTTATTCTTCATTTTTTTAGATCTCTGTAATCATTCTCGAAACAAGTGTTCGGTCACTTTTTGAGTATCGTTTATTCACCTATTAATTTTTTGTTCACTGTCTGTCAGAATACCTACTCTAGATTTATGTACATTTATGTGTGTGGATAAATATTATTATTATTATTACAAAATCAGACTGACAGATATTTGATTACTTCAAAAGAATAGGTCGCGTGCAAGAACTGTCAGATGACCGACCCTGGAGGCAAAACATATTGGTTTACAAGTGATCGAAATAGTTTTCCACAATTATTTTGGCATATGAATCGTATTTTTCCGCTATTCATCAATTCGCTAATGCCATCACATTGTACTGTTGTAAAATGCACAAAAACTGCAGCGGAAGATGAAGAAATCCGGATGGTACCTACATTATGATTCAAAAGTAAGTACCTACTATAGTCACTCACATAGTTTTCATTTTTGAAATTTGGTTATTTCTCTGATTTCTCATCGGTATTCCTTCTGCAATAGGATCAGCTAATAGAAATATACCTGAAATTTCTAGAATAATGCAAGAAGATTGGATTCATGCAATCAATCGGTAGGACTGGTCTGACATGCTGACGATCGTGTGTGTTGTAGACATTTTCAATCTATTAGCAGCATTAGCTTGTATTGCAAAGTGGCAGAAGGCAGAAGGAATTTCAATAAGGAATGACAACATTTCATGATGCTAACTATGTGAGATTACTATTTACCTGAAAAATCATATTCCCTAGTCTCTTGCTGCATTTTTTGTGCATTATACAACAGCACAATGCGAAGGCATGCTTGAATTAATGAATAACGCAAGAAACGCGATTCGTATGCCAAAATATTGTGAAAAACTATTTCAACCTTCTGATTCCTCTGTAACCAAATAAAAAAGTGAGGTTGTGTTTCAATAATTCACAGAAGAATGAGGTTGTGTTTCAATATTTTGCCTCCAGGGAATACGTATTAGGCATTCCAGAACACGTGACTTTTGACATATTTCTAATGGCCGCCTGTAGGCACACAAATATTTTTTGTCGATTCACGTAGCAGCGGTATACTCTTGGGTAGATATATCAAATAATGATAATGGCTGTTTTGAATAAAAGTGGATATTTATAATCCTTGGATCGCTATAACAAAGATATTGCGACACAAAAGTATGTGTGCCTACAGTCGGCCATATTGATTTAGATGGTTTGACAGCATCTTGGATAGGTCAATATGCTCCAGGGTCGGTCTTCGTGCACGCGACCTATAATAAAGATGCCTGCAACGCAGGTGTCATTATTGTTAAAAACGTAAAATTTCACGTCGATAATTTTCTGATTTCAATATAATGTAATATCTACGCGTAGGGAGACAACACAACCTGGAGCTAAAATCTACTACTTTTATCCCTTGTATAATAAATAACTATTTGTGAATTAATGAGCAATTTGTTATACTTGTTATTCAGAAGATCGAGCCCTGGCAGTTTGTGTGCACTTCTCTGTAATAATAAGGTTTTTGTCTGAAATTAAGTATTGTGTAGGGCCCACACTGCCAACAGCAACATAGTAACTGGAAGGGTAAATTTCCCAAACGAATCGTGGAAACAAGCCGCGAAATGGCATGCAAAGCACGAGAAGATCTCCCAGAAACAGGAAAAAGTGTCAATTAGGCGGGCCTATAAAGGCAATTCTCCCTGCAAACGCGAATTCTAATGAACGGAAAACAAAAGGCTCATTAGGGCGCATTCCTCGTAATTTTTAACGGAAAGCACCCCTAGGTATCGAATTGCGAGCGAGCCGAGTTTACAGTGGCTACGAGGGATGTTTATTCAAATCTGTTTTGCTCGAGGTTGAAGAAGGGAAAACAACCCTGCCGGATGATGAACAAGATGAAAGGCATTGAAAGGGTTTCGATCAGGGTTGCCAACCTACAATGATTAATTAATTAATTAACTCACAAAAATGTGGGATATCACCCACAATAACTCACAACTATCAAGATATCAACATCAAGGCACATTTCTCATAAATAACTGATACAAAATGAAAGAAAATGAAAAAAATAAAATAAACTTGCCTTTTTCTGCCACTATCTGTCAATAAAATAAGAAATGACAATGAGACCTGTTACCGGTTTTCACAGATGACAGATCGCGAGGACCTTGAGACTGAGAATACTGAATAATGCTGTGATCTGTGGTCTAATGCACAGCACAGGTATACTGTTACCTGCCACTATCTTCTATTCTATCTTCTATCTCTTCTATTTTTCTTCCTCGAGGTTAAAGAAGGGAAAACAACCCTACCGGATAACAAACAAATGGAAGGCATTGAAAGGGTTTCGATCAGGTTTCGAAAGTCTTGTGCGAGCAAGGAATGACGGGAGCCTTACCTTTTAACGTGTGATCCAAACACTTTCTTGGGCCATCAGAAAAATTTCTGCTGTCGATGGGAATCGAACCCACGACCGGCAAGCGAATGCTAGAATATTGACACTCTGTCCGCACGGCTACCTACAATACCTGCAATAATTAATTAACTAATTAACTCACAAAAATGTGGGAACACTCACAATATCACACAACTATCAAGGTATCAACATCAAGGCAGATTTTTCATAAATAAATGATACAAAATGAAAGAAGATGAAAAAAAATTAATAATAAACTTGCCTTTTTCTGCCACCATCTGTCAATAAAATAAGAAATAAGACCGTTTACCGGTTTTCACAGGTTCTTCTAGTCTAGATGAATCACGAATCAAGTCGATTTAAATCCTGTGGTGGCCGCTAGATGGCATCGTTTTAAAAATCAGATAATTTTCCACTTTTTTCGAAAATTTCAAATGGAACCCTATATTCATTCTACTCTAATATGAAAGTAGAGCAATCTAGGAGAGAAATGGTGAAAACCGCGAATTGATGCCTCTTGAGGAACCGGTGAAATACTCGAAATAATATTATGAAAATATTCACCACAGGAATCTAACTTCAATAATCGTCATCAGAAATATCCTGTATCTATGAAATTATGATTTCAATAATTTATTCATTTTGGTTTGACAAACTGCTGTTATATCTCACAATAGTGAAGGAGACTCTTAGTAATGACATAGCTAATTGAAATTAAGTATATGCTCAGGAATGAGAAAAGGCAAGTTGGCTTCGAATGAAAGAAACGTCAAAATATAATTGAAGTTCCATTGGAAGTTTTCACTGTGGATTGCTTATTTGTCAAAATGCCGATAACGAATGAGGAGGCAATTTACATGCTAACAGTTTAAATTTTAATATTATTCCTAGTATTTCTCCGGTTCTTCAAGAGGTATCAACTCGCGGTTTTCACCATTTTTCTTCTCGTTCACTTCACTTTCAGGAGAAATATATGGTTCCATTTGAAATTCTCGAAAAAAAATGGCAAATCGGCTGATTTTTCAAACGATGCCATTTAGCGGCCATCACGGGATTTAAATCGACTTGATTCGTGATTTATCGGGAAGATCTGAAAAAACCCTTCATCATGAGACCAAGATCGCTCAATTCCGTTACACCAGACTGTAGTAATGGGAGTTTTTTCAAAGTACCATTCATTCTTCCCTCTCTCTTTCATTTAAGGAGCTAGCGCAATTTTTTTGATCGATTTGATTGGATATCAACTCGAGAACATGAAAAAAGTGTTTTTGATATGTCTTGATATATCAAATTTTCATAAAATCCCGTTTATTAAACTGGCCAATGCAATTACGCCCTCTAGGGGCTGTCCTGGAAACTTGAAAATAATTTCCAGAGATTTTTCTTGGCCCCTTTTATCATGATTATTTTTTCCGAAACCTGTGCGGCATATAGTTTCCGAGATACAGCCGGCGTCCTTTCTTAGTGGTACACCCGGTACATACAACATCCCTTGAATATTTGTTTCATATTGTGAGAATATTCTGAGAATTTTCAAATATTCTCAAAGAATACCTAGGTACATTGAAACGTTGACGTATGTCGGGAATTTTTAGAAAGAATATTCACCTCTCTGCTCTCCACCTTGTATAATAATTGAGTAATATTAGGTAGTCCTAAATAAAATGAATTATGTATTCTACTAACAATAATGGCTTTTATTCTCTCGAAATCTTAATTCTCGGTGTTTAATATATTATATTCGATTTTTTTTTTCAGGGTGATTCTCCGTTCGGAAAGTCGGAAGCCTACATAAAACTAGAACAATTAGGTGAAGGTTCATACGCAACCGTGTACAAAGGATTTAGCAAGTAAGTGGCCCTTCACCCTGATCGACCCTTATCTTTTACCTTCCCCTATCGCTTTCGGGATCTTCTGCTACATTGAATTAGTAGAAAACGCATCCCTTGAACGCCGTTTCAAAGGCGTTTGTGTTCATCTTTGTATACTTTCTGCCCTTTCCTGAACAAATTTGTCCAGACGAGACTCCATTTACGGGGTCTTCTTGTATGTTTGAACTACTTCCGAACTTTTGTTGAAAGATCCATATAGAACGTCTAATAAGCTTGATATTTATTCAAAAATACTTCTCGAATGAGAATGAGTAGTAATTTTCGAAACTATCCGGAAAATACTGTTTTTTTTTTGGACGAGTAGACAAAATTCTAGGCGGCCGAGCCGTAGGCGAGTCCTGGAAGTCTGCGAGTCCATAAAAACTGGTTTTGGATGTGTTGCGTTCACAATTGTTTCGTCAACCGTGTAGAATAACGAATCAATGAGACACATTTCCATATTATATTTCTTTTTAGAATACAATTTCTTCTTTATTAATTCTCATTTGTATCAAATACTGAAATTTGAACAGAATACCTATACCTACTAACTGTTACATTGGAAATTTCGTCTGGACATTTTCAAACTCAGTTTCGCTGCTTTCGATAGCTTATTGCGATAATTGCAATCAAACTTTCAAAAATCAATGCCAACTAATTTCATAGATGCAGGGTATAACATGAAGTTCAAGTCATGTTGTAGCCATCTAGTGGCAAAGCTCTAAGGTAGGATACAGAAATCGCGACACACACTGTATGGCGCTGCCATCTATAGTCACACGTACAGACCCCTACGTCTATACGCTACAGAGTGGTACTAGAAGTGAAACCACTCTGCTAACAGATGGCACTACCTGACATACTTGAGTGGAATTTTTCCACAACCTATTCAACTGCTAGATCTCATAATTAAGAGATCCAGGATGAACATTTCATGTCAAATTGCTGTCAGCCAATATTGCGCTGCTATGGTAATCATCATCTGCGTTTATCAAAACCATATCTACCAAGATTTTCATAGTTACAGTGACAACAAAGAAATTTCTCTGTAATTTTCTTTTGCTTCAATTCAAACCTATACAGACGAGGTGTTTGGAAAAATGTGGCCCCATCGCATTGAGTTTGCTCAGCGAAAAATTCTCGTAACGGCATCCGTATTCAATATACGGGGTGTTGAAAAAAAAATAAGCACCCTTTTTGCATGATTATTTCTTCAAGTGGGAGTCACACAGAGGGCGCTAGTTTCTCGATTATTACCGAGTGGTTTTGAACGAAACATTTGTGATGTTGAATTTTCTAGTCCAAATTTTTCGTGAACATCATTCTATTTCACACCAAGAAGGTACTCTTGGTAAAATTCGATATCGTTTTTTCGGAATATTTTTCAATCAAATCTTTCTTAATTTTTTTCATGATACTTTTCCCAATCAATAACTTCAGCATTAGAAGAATGTTATCGTTTTTGGTTTTTAATAAATAGGTAATTGTTTCTTATAATACTTCATACCAGTATCAATCATTATTTCATCATCTTCAAGTCAAAATATTCCGAGAACGGTACACAGCATCGAGTATATTCTTCAAATCCTTGCGTTGTGTCAGTTGCCAAAACATATACATACAAAAATTCATCACAATGTTGTCAGTAGTTTCGATATAATCATAAAAAATGCGTTTACAATGTTTTTTCTCCCACACCATGTATAACTCTTTGTAGGTAAATCGGAGAGGTGATTTTTCAATTTTTCTAGGTTTTTTTAAATAAAAATATGAGAAATATTTCGGTAGGTAGCTGTGTATTTGATATTCTTTCGATATAATATCTATATTTCTCTCTCTGTCACTGACAATCGATAATGTTTTTCTTTTAAGCTCATTAATAACTAGATACTTAGTCAGGATATTTTCATTTTGTCATATTGTTTCGTCTATCCATTATGCTTATGTAAATTGCAATGCATGTTTTTGTTTTGTCCTTCTTTTCCTGTTCTGTAAATGGGGCAACCTGTTGAACAGTGTAAGAAATAAATAATTAAATAAATAAACAGTGAAATTTTTAAATGCAGTGACATTTTGGGGTATATTATCTTATTTGTCCTCACTACACAAATATTTCCATCTAATTGAAACAAGTCGAGAATATCTCAAAAAATCTGAACAATAAAACATATTTCTTATTATATCTTGAATACTGATGCCGTTACGAATATGTTTTAGTGAGCAATCCTAGTTCTATCTATCCTTACAAAAACACTACCTTATTTAGAAACACCTGGTGTGTAGAAATATAACTTTTATTTTTATTGCTGGAACCAAGGAGAGACCATCCAGAAAAATCTAGAGAATATTCCCCGTCTTCGATTAACCTACAGCCAGTTATGAAGGAAAAAGTTTTACGTTTTCTTTTTTTTTCCAGTTTACAGAACCAGGTGGTGGCATTAAAAGAGATTAGACTGCAAGAAGAAGAAGGTGCTCCATTCACGGCAATCCGTGAAGCTTCCTTACTAAAAGAACTGAAACACGCTAACATAGTCACCCTACACGACATTGTACATACCAGGGAGACTCTCACTTTCGTTTTCGAATATGTTGTAAGTATAATCTATACACCATTCGCGATTCCATTCATTAATCCCTGTTTGGCATTCAGGATGTTTTGCATACACTTATCACTGATTTATGAATGAATCTAGGTGTTTATTGTTATTTGCGGTTATTTGATTAGAATGATTACGCAGTTATCCCCACCATTCGCGATTTCGTTCATTTAAACGATTTCAGTGTTTCGGATTGTTGGCAATGATTCCGCAGAGTTATTCCCACTATAGTCAATGAAGGGTATTCGTTAGATGAGAAGAAGAAGAATAAGACATATCTTCTGCACTTCAATTTCCCTATAGTAGCGCCTGATTGTCAGATACGATTTTAGATGTTAGATTTTCTGTCAAATCAATCATTGTCGTAGATGGAAAATAGAAATTGGTATACACACCCACTTCAATTGATATAGTGATACACTTTTCGCAGAACCATAGCTATAAAAATTGAAAAAATTCATGTAACAACTTTTCGATATGACAAAATAGACACATGTAGATATACTTATAGCTAGTTTCTTATTGCAGATGTGAAACTGTACCCGAGTGATAATGTTCAAAACACGGGGATTGTTTTGATTTTCCCCCTTTTGCTGTTCTCTTTCTACTGATTTTTTTTTAAATTTAATTAGAAAATTAAAGAAATGACATCGCCATTCCCTCCAGAATTCCCGCAATTAATTACATAGCAGGACATTTTCATTCATGCTTTTTTCTCAATAGTTTATGAGATTTTATTTCAATTCTGACGTTCATAAACTTTATTGTCAAATTCAAACAATTTTGAATGAAAAAGCGCGGAACGACTATGATGCTGTTGTCACAATACAAGTTGTGTAACTTGATAAATCTAATCATTCAAAAACACCAACAGCTGTCACATCTGTGTCCGAACTCTTATCTAATAGCATATTCGACTGGATTGCACTGACACGGTATAGATACATATTTAGCACTGAACTGACTTCGGACAAAATTCGTTCAGTTCGAACCCATCTAGAGCAGATGCATGTAGATAATGCGAATTATTCTGGCACTGTATGAATGAAGCTCAACATTAACATTATGAATATTGGACTAATATGTTGAGGACATTGTGCTGTTGGACCCTAACGCAGGATCAAGCTAGATCTAACCAAAGAATTTTTTCAATTTCGAAGTATGGAGAGAATAATTATTTGTAGCATAAGGAGTATGGAGACATCTTGTGAATAATTAAAGGTTCCGATGGTGTATAGTAGGTATAATGCAATGTCATCATTTACTAGGAATACCTGGTATCCCAATATTTGATTAAAATTTCTGGGTATCATTAATTTTCTGCTTTCCTGCTTCATCCTACTTCGATTTTATGAATTGATGACTGTTGCTCGACAATAAGGAATTAATTGCTAATAGTTGCATCACATTCATCTCAAAATCTGAACATGGCAATGCATTTGAATACCCACTAACTGTCAGAAATCTTCAGCCCGTGACTTTGGCACTGTCAAAATTTATTCTGGGAAAACATTGATTTAACAGCGAACTCTTTTACCAGTCGAACATAAATTCAGCTCTATCCTTGAGTAGTGCCTCTTGAGCCGAATAGAAATATTATTGGTACTTTCTGAGTGCACACCAGCCGAATACAAACGAACGATAATTGGAATTGAATGCGCAATAGCAATAGTGCAACCAGTCGAATACAGTGGCGGCTCGTGACTTTCATGACAGAGGAGGCTGAATGATATGAGATTTATTGTGAAAAACAACTCTCTACTCATCCAAATCAATAGCTTTAATTACATTCTGTTTACCAGTTAACCTGAACTTAATACTTGAAGAGATGTGTTCCTGTGATTCGCAGTGTCTATCCAATCCGCGAGCCAAATTTTTCAAATCATTATATCCTAATCGCCCCCAACATGATGACTTATCGTTTGAAAATAATACGCAGTACCAACAAAATAGCTCATTCCTTACCTCAGATCGCGTCAGCCAGATATATTTTTTATAATTATCAGAATTGAACGAACGATTTTGTTTGTTACCTGTTACAATCAGATTTTTTAATTCCGGTGTCGGACGTTTGTTTTTCACAATCAATTTATCTTTATAAGACAAAGCACTGAATGGGTTCACCAAAAAGTATTCCACTAAATTGCAATCGTTTAAAACACTCATTTTTCAGAAATTCATAGAGCCCCTAACCATTAACCCAACATAAACATAAACAATGCCCGCAATTCGCGACGCGACACGACAAAAATGTGCTATTCGGGCGTATTCGGGCATTTACATTGCGCGAGTGGGTTGCGCTCAAGGTTGCGCTTGCGCATTGTGAAAGGAGTGAAAGGAGTCTAGCCTCCTATAGATGTTGCCAAGTTGAATATTTTACGCGTGATTTGCAGACTTCAACGTGTGATGCGTTGGCAAGCACTGTTGACAATTCAAAAATATTTACCTAAAAACAGGAAATAAAATCAAAATCCATGTATTTTGGTGTCCTTTTAATGATAAAGTATAGATAATATCAGTTCAAGGAAAATCTCTGAGGAGGCTCAGCCTCCGTTGCCTCCTCTGAGGAGCCGCCACTGGTCGAATACGCTATAACTGATGCCATCTAGTGACTCTAATCCCCACCATTCGCGATTACATTCATTCACCAGGTTGTTTTGCAGCACACCGACCTGTCGCAGTACCTGGAACGCCACGTGGGCGGGCTGGAGCCTCGCAACGTGCGCCTCTTCCTCTTCCAGCTGCTGCGCGGTCTGGCCTACTGCCACAAGCGGCGCGTGCTGCATCGCGACGTCAAGCCGCAGAACTTGCTCATCAGCGAGTGCGGCGAGCTGAAGCTGGCCGATTTCGGCCTGGCCAGGGCCAAGTCAGTGCCCAGTCACACCTACTCGCACGAGGTAAATTACTTGCACGTGATATCAATATCAAATATGTACCGGGTGAACAACTAAGAACGGCTGCCATCAATCCTTTTTCCAACTTTGATCGTCAATATCTTCCGTTTGCGAAAAGCTATCATTTTGCAGTTTTCGTTGGTCTGTTGAGATTTAGTTTCTCTATTTGATCGTGTAATGATATGGATACATTACATTTTTAATTCACGATATCTATTGATTGATACTCCAGATCACGCCGATAGCCGTACTTAGTTGTTCACCTGGTACAATGCTTTTGCGTGATATCTCAGTTATCTTTGGAGGTAAAACCTTGCGGTTTTTGTGGTCCTATGCCACTTTCTTGTGAAACTCAAGATGGCCTAATCAGATTTTGCATAACTGTTTCCGTTGTTCCCTGTATGGAAAAACTACTAGAAATGGCAGTTTACTCACAAATTAATAACTATATAAAGAATAATAATTTTATAATGGATTATCAGTTCGACACTTTTCTTCTTTGATCGTTCCGCTCGAGTATGGATTACTTCAGAAGACAATTATTATTATTATTATTTTAGGTTGTGACGCTCTGGTACAGACCTCCGGACGTGCTGCTGGGCAGCACGGAATATTCCACCTCCTTGGACATGTGGGGGGTGGGTTGTATATTCGTTGAGATGTTAACAGGGATGGCGATATTTCCAGGTGTGAGGGATACGTACGACCAGTTGGATAAGATATTCAAAGTAAGACTTTTTCTTCTCAGAATCAATACCAACTTTCCGAAATAAGCTAGCTCACATAAGATAAAAATGAGATTTTTTTCAAATTAGTTTCATAATGCTATAGAATATTTCAGAACTATCTAGAACATTTCAACATTTTCTAATATTTTTCCCGTGTATAATACACTATTTTTTTCTGTGGCACAAGAAAGGACGAATAAATATTGAGATGATATTACATTATTTTGAAATCTGAAAATTATCGACGTGAAATTTCAAGTTTTTAACAGTAGGGACACCTGCGTTGTATGCATCTTTATCATTCTTTTGGAGTAATCAAATATCTGATGTCACTTCTGTGAGTCTGAAAATATCAAAAATCTCTAAAAGAATTCGAGAACAATGAGAGCTTTCATTCTAGCCCAAGAAAAGTGAAATCGGATAATTATTTCCAGAGATACGATCGTTTCTATGAAGTCAACATCCGCCATTTTGTATTGGCCGGCATTTCTATTAGCTACCACTTCGAGGTGGCAATCGTAGTTTTTAGAGATCCCTATTATACCAAAATCTTGGCTAGCCAATAGACTAATATGTATGAGTAACTGTGTTGATCATAATTTATTAATTTCAAAATTTGAAAACATTGGAGTCGATGGAACACCATCAAATTGGCTGAAATCTTATTTAACAGAACGAACTCAGTATGTTGACTTGATTAGCATAGAGAATGGAAATCTTAGACATGTTAACTGGCAAACAACAGAGGTCCCAATCGGCGTGCCCCAGGGTTCCGTGCTGGGCCCTGTATTATTTATATTCTATGTGAACAATGTTGATCTTGCAATTCCTCAGGCATTTCTGACGAAATATGCTGACGACAAGTCGGTAGTTATTGCAGCCAAATCTCAGAAAGAGTTGATAAACCAATGTAATACCACACTATGTGACTTAGGAGATTGGTTCAAAATTGGTTCAAACAGAACTCTTATACTTCAACATGGAACAAACGTATTATTCTAGTCTCAAAACTGCACTCAGTAGCCTATAAATTTAAAATTTTGCGGAACATTCTCACCACCGAGCAGCTTTTGATGGTGTACTATGCAGAGGTAGAATCTGGATTGCGCTATGGAATCTGTTTTTGAGGTTGGTCTACAAGCATTGAAGACGTGTTTTTGGCCCAAAAGCGCGTAATAAGGAGTATCGCTGGTGTGAAAAGCACTGAGTCATGCATGACATATTTTGATGAATTTGAGATTTTAACCTTGGCAAGTCTATACATCTTTGAAATATGTGTATATATACAAAAATTCACATTTATTCACTACAGTCCATAATCACCATGCTGTGAATACTCGACAGAAAAATAAAAATCTGATTTATGTTCCTTCAGCAAAACAGGTAGTTTTATTCAAATCGCCAAACTATGCAGGACCTCGCTGCTTTTATAATTTTTTGCCAATTGACATGAAAGCTCTACCTCTCAAACAGTTCAAGGAAGCATCAAAAGACTATCTTGTTAGAAAATAATTTTATAGTGTATCTGACTTTATAAATTGAAGTACGTCTCTTAGTATGTTTATGTGTCTTTATATATAAATATATATATTAAAATACTTAGATTTGAGTTAGGATAGGTTTAGGGTTAAGATTCATTCTGACTATTCCTAATACAATTATTGTAAATTGTCTTTGAGGAAAATGAAATATCTATATATCTATCTAACAAGGGGAAGCTTTCGTGACTGTTCTATAATAATATTGGTCAAACTTGTAGAATGTTAAAAGACAGAATCACTTCACATAAAAGTGATTGTAGAAGAAATTTAAAATCATGTAGCCTTGCTGAACATGTTATAGATGAAGATCATAAATAATGAATTATGATAATGCCAAAATTCTGGATTATGAAAAACATCTCAACAAACGCCTCTTTCTTGAAATGGTACATATTAATGAAAATGATAAAACGATGAACAAAAGAACAGACATCAACGATCTTAGTACCATTTATACATTCCTTCTAAAGAAACAAAAAGATAATAAATCAACTCGTCCTCCTTGAATGATTCATGTTTTATATATAATCTACAAACATTTTTTATATATCAGTATTTTTATATATATCAGTATTCATCTCACTCTGTATTCAACATCTTCAAATGAGTCAACCATCATCTATGACATTTTTTTGTCAAATCATTTCATTTTATTTATACACCTATGTTTCCTTTTTGTGCTGATTTTATATAGAATTTCATGTTTGTAAGTATACCAATTTCATTTGATGTACATTTATATTCTAATATTATTGTTCCATTCGATGTTTTCAGTTAGTCTTGATAAAGAAAATAAAAATTTTCGAAAGCTCGACAAATAACGAAGAAATCTAATTAATTCATTGGTCCAGACTGCATCCCACTAATATTTCCAAAAATATTATATATCTATCTATCTATCTATCTATCTATCTATCTATCTATCTATCTATCTATCTATCTATCTATCTATCTATCTATCTATCTATCTATAATAATAATAATGATAATAAATTGACTTTATTTGACAAATGTACACGCCCTGAAAAGGCGAAGATTAGCTAAATAGCTACTCTTGAACTCTTAACCTTTTGAAAGTATTATACAATGTTATTAATATGGTATATGTATAGATAGAAGAGAATAGATAAAATCTAAAAAAAGTATGTAATATATGCATATATAGAAAAAAAGGAAGTTAATTTAAGAAAGTAACAATGTGACTATAGTCTTGTTGATTCAGCAGTTCATTTTTAACGAATTTTCTGAATTTATTCAATGGTGTTGTTAATTCTGGTTTGAAAGAATTGAAAAGTTTTACAGCATTATAGGTGAAACTGCGTTCAAACAGAGCAGTCGAATGGTTTGGCATGTTGAGTACTTGTGAATGTCTGGTGTTAAGATTATGTAAATTATTTCTAAAGACCAGTTTATGAGAAAGGTATGGCGGACTTTGAGTATTTAATAGTTTGTGCAGAAAAATAAGGAAATGCTATTCTAATACATTAGAAACTCTAAGCCATTTCAACTGCAGGATGTATTGAGAAATGTGATCATATTTCCTCAGATTGAATATGAATCTACAACAAGTATTTTGCACGCGTTGTAGTTTATATTGGGTGCATTTATCAAGACATAGATAGTAGACAATGTTACAATAATTCAAAAGATCTATCTATCTATCTAAATAAATCTATCTATCTATCTATCTATCTTGATCCGTTCCACAGGTGTTGGGCACTCCGACCGAGGACGACTGGCAGGGCGTGTCGCAGCTGCCCGGCTACAAGCAGCACCGCCTCGGGCAGTACTCGGGGCGGCGGTTGGGCCTGTGTTGGCCGCGGCTGCACGACGTGGCGCACGGCGAGGCGATGGCCGCTGCCCTGCTGCAGCTCGACCCGCAAAGGAGGCTGGGGGCCGAGGAGGCGATGACCCACCGGTACTTCGAGGGGTTGCCGGGGAAGCTGCTCGAACTGCCCGACGGTGAGTAACACAATATCTCTTCTTGTTTCTTGGTATTGGTCATTTATGTGTCTTTTGTCATTTTTATAATTTTTCTTCCCATTTTTTTTGTCTTCTGGTAATTTGTATGAAATAACAAATAATATGGTATTCTTTAGATGAAATATATAGAATTGAAACTCTTGGAATATCATATAATATAAAACAACTTCTGTTGAATAAACCGAGAAATTTTATTTATATACAGGGTGTTTCATAATTGAATGCTGATCCTAAAGGGCGATAATCCTTGAATGATTTCAAGAAAAATTCTTCATGTGAACATAGGTCCGTAACAGCTTCGTTTCTGAGATACAGGATGTTGAAATTTAACGAAAAAATCAGTTATTCCACAATATCTGAAACCGCTCTGGCTTTTTTCTTCATTACAAAAACTCAAAAATAGTTACCATGAAATTATAAAAATATTGCTTAGATCTTTTGGTTACCACAATTGTGAAATTATGAATAAGAGTAAAAATCGAATAGGGACAAGCAAATGAATGCATTTTATTTTCTAACTCAAAAACCGTTCGCCGGACGAAAAAAAGACAAGAGACCATTTTTATGAGAAGATAGAGGATAATTACAAAAATGATATTTATTTGGAAAAAAGACAGTGGCGTATCATTATTTTGATGAAAAATATGACAGGGTATGTTAACAGGGACGCCACTGATGGAAATTAAGAAATCCTTCATTATGGGACAAATGTATTTCTATTCATACTTGGCATGTACCAAAATTGAAGAAAAAAGCCAGAGCGGTTTCAGAGATATTGGGGATTTTTTTGTTAAATTTCAACATCCTATTTCTCAGAAACGAAGCTGTTACGGACCTATGTTCACATGAAGAATTTTTCTCAAAATCATCCAAGGATTATCACCCTTTAGGATCAGCATTCAATTATGAAACACCCTGTATATATCCATTTTTTCGTGTTCATAAATATATCTGAGAATGTTCCTTTTCAATATGTTTCATTGGTTGGAATTTATCAGTTTTTACCCCTAATACGAACTTTGTGATAAAAAAATATTCAACTGAACATATATTTACCTACATATAAGAGACTTATTTCATTGGAATAGTATATGTATTTCTTTGGTATATATGTACATACCAACTTGATATCGACCTCCATTGAGGTCCTTCAGGCTTATCATTCAATATTTCGAGAAGAAATAATTTTCTAATCAATTTATCGTACCCTTTTACCCACTCGAGGAGACGCTATGCACTCTCATGCAAAAATCAAAGACAGAGAAAGATATATGGATGTACTCTTCCCAGGACTTGTGGAGGAAGGAAGATGCGAGGATCCTTTATCTAAGCGAAAAATATATTCTTGTCCTTGTGTGGCAAAACATATGATTTGCTTCAAAATGGTTTGTGATTATGTTTGATTGTCACTGCTTGTGTAGTGTTCGTACTCTGATATACAAAGAAACGTCAAAACAGCAGTGCCAAGTACATTTACTGCGCGGAGGACTATTTTTATCAAGTACCATTTTATATAATGTGTTTGTCCCGTTAGAAAATGTTCAAATATGTAAACAGAAATAGGAAATAAATGAATTTGAAGTCGATTTCTAACCAAGTGGTAGTGGAGGACCGGGGTTCGAATCCCGTGGCAGTCGTCTTTTTTTATCATTTGAATGTATTGGCAGACATGTACTGGCCTATCAATGTTCACAGGAATTTTGTCGTTCTCGGCAATTCTGGCCTGCATATTGTGGGTCAGCATAAGGCCGACCAAAATTGTTTGCTGGGATAATCCTATTTTCATTGAGACAGAAAAGAAAAACCCCTACAAACCTACCTACAAACTGTACACCGTGTCCCAGCTAAAATGTCCCCCCCCTGTAACAAATCAACCGCGCGATCGAATGACTTGAAATTTGGTCACCCAGTATATTTGATGATGCTCACTTGAATTATGCTATTGAATAAATCGTAGGTATACAGTGTCACACCGAAGTGCACCACAACTTTATTATTTGAATAAGGACACCCAGTATATTATTCCATATTCAAGTAGAGTTCATTATTACAAATTCGACAATGCCGGGTTTGATGGGATTTTTTCAAACGGTTACGAAGATATGGCAAAAAATAAAACGATTCAATAAAAAATTCATATGATTAGATTTCATCAATATAAGAGGATTGAAATCGAATGAAAAGAAAATAAGATTACCAATTGTCTCGATGGTGATAGCAACTGGCCAGCTCGGTCGCCAGACCTCACCCCACTTTTTTTTATTTGTTGGGCTACTTGAAACAACAGGTTTATGAGTCGCCAATGGGCGTGTACACCTTGGTAGAACTTCTAACTCAAACCATGTTTATAATGATCCTTTTATACATAAATAATGATTGACGACATGATTCGATCGAAAAATTAACTGGAATGTTTTATTTTTGGACATAAATAATAGTACCTTCTGAAAACGGACCGCTCTTATGACGTAGAAACCTCATCTCGCTATAGTTGAAAGAAAATTCCAAACGCCAGACGGAGACTGAGGCAACTGATATATTAATTCTTTCAACTGTGATCTCGCGCTAATTCACTCTGCCAGAAATCATGTATCATTCATCTCTGTCTGGAATAGTCTTGTTTCAGTATTAGGGTTTTGACGTCACATCATCGCCTCGTTTCCAGAGGTCCGAAAAATCGAGGATTTCAATAATTTTTTATAAAACGTAGGGAGCTCACAGCAAGAAACGGTTCGCGGTGGTGAGCTAGATTGGGTGAGTTCTATCGAATTATGATATAAAATTTTTTTGTGATATAAGCCCATTGTGATTTTGGAAGAAATGAAAGAGAAAATCATAAATTTATACGCACAAATTGATCGCAACGTGATACATAGGGTCACAATGAACGTTATCAAAAGAGCTAGGAAATGTTTGCAGCAGAATGGACGACATATTGAGCAGTTGAGGTTTCAATTATTTTCTTTCCATTCGATTTCAATCGGGTCATATAAACAAAATCTAATCATATACATTTTTTATTGAATTGTTTGATTTTTTGCCATATCTTCGTAGTCGTTTGAAAAAATCCCATCAAACCCGGCATTGTTGAATTTGTAATAATGAACTCTACTTGAATATGGAATAATATACTGGGTGTCCCTATTCAAATAATAAAGTTGAGGTGCACTTCGGTGTGACCCTGTATACCTACGATTCATGCAATAGAATAATTCGAGTGAGCATCATCAAATATACTGGGTGACCAAATTTCATTCGATCACGCGGTTGATTTTTTACAGGGGGGGACATTTTAGCTGGGACACGGTGTATATGGTGATATTGATTTTGACTGAATTTTACTGTGTATTTTTCAGATTGCTCTATATACAGCGTGGAAGGTGTGCAAATGTATCCGGAGCAATAGCACACGACCATCAAACGAGGCTGGTCTTGACTACCTCTCTCAGGAAAAACCATCTGTAAGCAATGACCATCTCCTGTCATCTTCAATTTTTTTTCTCTTCGTTCGATCATGTAACGAAAATTGTTATATCGGAAATGTCGATGCATTCTTGTGCACTGTTGATGCAATATTTTTTATTGTTTTAAAATAAGCTGGAATTTATTGTGTATTTTATAATTATATGCAGCATTGTTTTTTCTATTTTTTTTTAATGTGATTTGTCCAGCATTTCAACGAATTCTTATCAACATACTTTTGATTTTGAACTCATCAATAGAAGTCAAAACTACTCTGAATGTGAAATTGGTACACTTGGAAATTATCACGTGATATTAGTATACAGAGTGTTTCCTGATCATACAGTGTCCGCCATAAAGTATGTTGCAAATAGGAAAAATAAATCATTATAGAGTATTGGGACACTTATTCTAGGTATTTCTTTGAGACAAACAATTACTGGCGAGAACAAACATCTGTTTTCGGTTTATCTTTCCGATTTATAAACAAGAGTTTAATGAAAAGGAATATTCTCGTTTAAGGAAATAGAGCTGTCAATCAACTACCATGGAAGAAGAAACAAAGACATTTTCCGTGGAAAGTAAAATTGCCTTTAACATGCTTCCTTGTTGTCGATATACTGGTATGAGCAAGTAAACAGTGTCTTCATGACTATTATACCTATAACAAATGATATTCTTCTCCAATTCGAATGTTCTCTTGAATTTTCTCATATCAGGTCAGGTTTTTGTAGCAGGACTTCAACAGCTGAGAGAAGACATTTTTTCAAGATGAAAATTATATGTAAACATACGCGTGGGAGCTTCGTTTCCGATATACAGGGTTTCAAAGTTCAAGATTTTTTTGTGTTTTTTCAATTTCCTCCTACAATTTCCAAAATAATGAATTGATATTTGGTACATCTGTCACACTTTGGGAACGCAATATTTGGAGCTTTCTAGCGTTCTTGAATACCTACAGGATTATACACTTTTGAGGGTCGTACCCGAGTTAACCCTCTCGAATTTTTGGGCGTACCGCCTCTGTTTTCTATGAATCATCAATTCAGATTCTCCTTTCAATTTGGATAATTTTTGCTGCCTTTTGTTTTTTCGAAGGCTGTATGGGTTTCAAGATGAATGCCAAAAATAATTTACTTGTAATGAAACTTTATTTTTTGGGTCCGTATTTACTAGCATGATTTCAACAGCTTAAAAAAAATTTTCTTGAGATGAAAACCTCATGTACTCATATATGCGTGGGGGCTTCATTTCTGATATACAGGGTTTCAAAGTTTGAGATTTTTCTTGTGTTATTCAAGTTTTCTCATACATTTTTCAGAATAATGATTGGAATTTGGTACACCTGGTACACTTTGGAAACGCAGTATTTGGGGCTATCAAGCGTTCTGGAATACCTACAGAATGATACACTTTTAGGGTCGTGCAAACTTTGAAACCCTGTATATCGGAAACGAAGCTCCCACGCATATACGTTTATAGAAGATTTTCATCTTGAAAAAATGTCTCCTTCAAGCTGTTAAAGTCCTGCTATAAAAAAGTGACTCACGCTGTATACAGTGTCATCCATAAAGTCCGTAACATATGGGGAAAATGTATAATTAGATAATATAACATTCTATTATGTATATACTATAACCGAAAAATCGATTTTGATGTCACGTGATCACTGGTATAGCGGCAAATTGAAAGAAATATATTATGAAAAGGCAAAATCCTGGGTTAGTTGGCAAGATATTGAAAATTTATTTGAAAAAATGCTCAGATTTCCATTTTATACTCGCAGAGTTCAAATTATTTGAGTGTGTGAAGAAAACGAAATACAGGTGTATCAATACTGTCAACCTATTCAGGAAACAAAAATTAGATAATTGTAACAAGATCTGAACATTTTTCTGAAAAAAGCTGATTTCAATTGAAAAGAAAATGATAATCAAATCGGACAAGAAACAACAAAGTTATTCATGAGAAACTTCATAGGTATTATTAGCGTATCGATAATTATTCTGTCGGTGTATGTTTTCGAAACATTCTGTATACCTACTAACCAATTTTTGTTTGGTAATGTCTCGATACGTATTTTGCTAACTATATGCTAGCATCTTCAAAAGATTTAACTGTGATCAGTGTAGTAAGTAGTATGTTAGATATATCACCGAGGTGAATTTCCTAGGCCTTTTTACTAACTACATACGCCACCTCAGGTACAGCATCAATGCTTTAAGAAACGATCTTGGGACCATCTTCTTGGGAAGTATTTGGACTGGATTTTCAATAAATAAAAAAATATATTTGGGTTCAATTGACAACATTGCAAATCTTCAAGTGTACCATTTTATATTTCCATGTAGTTTTCTCTCTGGACGGTCTAATTCGAAATAATTTTTGGTGCTTCTTGAATATGATTTGACATATGGTATGTTTTTTTCAATATCTTTTGAGTTATCATTGAACAGTGACACCAATCCATTCCTTCCATGGTGCTCAATTATTCACACAAACGAGTTTGGTGGTTCGAATCGGGATGAAAAGGGTCTGTTAATGTTGAAACAGTTTCTTTTTTATGTGACACTGCTGAATATCGCCAGGCCTGACGTAACTACCCCTTTTTTATAGCAACAGGTGATAAATATTCAAGCCGAACTGATCTGAAGACAGAGTTTTTTCTGTTCTAGACTATGCAGTATGGGTTAACATGACTTCTACTTGCCTGTCATTCACTATGAATATATCATTTTGATTTACTCTGGTCGTATGGATCAATTCAAGCTTTGAGATTGATAACAGAACTGTCGATCACTTTTTTTTCGAAAATTTTTTACTAGCCTTACGAATAGACTGTTAAATGAATTTTTCTATGATGAAACTCTCGTCATAGATATAGAGAACTTTTTTCCGGACATTTACTCTCAGATTCAATATCATCTTATTCTTGTAAATATTGTATAAAACCTCTTTATTGTTAAGTTTTTATTTACACCTTGTTGTTTTACGCATTTAAACTTTATTTTAATTCAAGGGAACCGTATTAACTAGGACCAGAAGGAATTAGTTTTATATAGTTACGAGTTTCGGTAGCATAGAACAATATCTTATTTAGGATACCATTTTCATCTCTACGTACCCATTTTTTAGTCATTCTTCATTCGAATGTAGGGTAGCCATATTGTATAAAAATTATATCCCATCTAGTTCACGATCCAAATAAATTAAATTAAAAGTGATATGAGAGAATAGATAGTTGATATCTGAAGGTAAAAGAAGTAGAAAACTCAAAATGTGCCAAAGGGCAGTAGCGTATGAGTTAGTTCTAGTGATGCTAGCGGAATTTTTATCCAGGTTCTAGACCATGCACTATCTCACAAAATACCCATCTTATGAGCTTTACCCCTTATATAACGTTAATTTTATGTTGAAAATCAATATTCACATTCATGAAACGTTAATATCATGGTTCAGCACGTTTATACAACGCTAACTTCCTGTAGCGACTCGAAATTAACTTCAATTTCCGTTAGTACAACGTTAATTTCATATATCGACTTGAAGTTGACGTTGATGTCATGTTCCAACTCGAATATAACGTTGAATACATTTATCAACACGTTATTTACGTTAATACAACGCTTATTATCATGTATTGACTTGAAATTAACGTTAATTTCAAGTAACAACGCGTAATTTATGTTAAATCGACGTTAATTCCATGTAACAACTCTGTATTAGCGTTTTTTGAATGTGAATGAAACGTCAATCTGATAGTATAACTTGAAATTAACATTATTATAAACACCCATCTGATGAGCTTCAAGAAAATTGTTTTTTAGGAAGTGTAGGTTTTATAATCTACAGTTGACTACTGAATCGTATATCAAAATTGTAGGCCTAAACCGACTAGATCAATAGATTTTGTTGTGGAGCATCAACAAATGAGCTGAACGAGACTTTTTATAAACTAGCATAGTGGATAAACGGGCACTACGTTTTGCGATGCAATGCACCCCTCCAAAGTTCGTCCATAAGTACCTGGCCGTTGACAAGTCGGATTTTTTTGTTGACGGCTCGGTACACTTAGCGTTTAGACTGTTTTCGAACACATCCAAGCTCAGTGCATGCTTTTCACGCACATTCTTGTTGATTCGTTTTATGGAAAATCTCGGATGTTTTCTAAGGAAGATTGTGGAATGATATGTGTATATGAAGTTGCAGATTGAGGAATGAAATGAGTTTATTCGAAATTATGATTATACAGTGGCGAACGTTCTGGAATGGTCGAATATATGAAAATCTACAAATTTACAAAACTATGAAGAACACTCAATAAAGAAAATGGCTACATGAATTGAGAACATGATGTGATTGTACTGTTTTTTTTTCTTTATTAGAGGTATTTGAGCATTCCATGCGTTTTTTGCACAACCGTGTATAATGAGCCTTTTTCGGACGGTGGATATCTAATTCGCCTAAAAACTATCGTTTAATCGATGCAAACATTTCATTTCAAGTTGAAAAAACTCAGAATTTACATAGATATGATGTTCTAGAGAGAGAGGAATTGAAAACAACATTATAAGGATGAGATGCAACGAGTTCTACACCCTTTCTCACGTGCCAATCCAATCAAACTTGTCGAAATTTTTATACCACAGCGGCGCTCCTCAAGAAAGTTGTAGGGAGCCAGCCAATGAAAATGACAAACGAGTAAGAATCAACCAACAGTAATCACGTGTCTGAGGAAATCGTAATTTACATAACAAGGCCGGAAAATTCTGTTTTCATGGACGAGCCTTTCTCTCTTTAATGTTGATTTTAATTAAGATACGCGAAATAAATCAGTTTTATTAATTCACGAAAATGGCTCATTATTCGCTCAGAGTTTTGAAGAAATACTTTTTTTTTTCGAGATTTACAGGGTTACTTCTGCATGCGAAAGCAATTTCGGCACCATTGCGCGCTAGCATTTTAATCTTCGATACGAAAAACGATTTTTCTGACGGGAGAGAATAATCGTTATTTTTATTTTGTTTTGATATATTTATGAGATGAAGCGTTATGAGAAACTGCGAGAAGATGGTGTACGTAATCATCGTACCATTTTGCATTGTAAATAGAATAGTTGTTTATAATAAGGTGATTATAAGATTATTGAAAATATAATAAATGTCTTTGTATAACTTTCATGTAGTTTGATTTCAATTATTATGGCATCCAAAGTCAACATTACTTGTCCCAAAACAATATTTCAGCTCCTTACACGAAATCAACGTTGATACCTAATGATGATGTCACCTTTCCGGGAGTAACATCGATATAACGTTAATTTCATGTCGCAAGTCTTCAATTACCAAATATTACGACTAGATGTCAACGTCAACAGAACGGTTATTAAATATAAGTATTATAACACGGCACTTGAGTGACATACAGGGTGAGCGTTTTTCGAACTCCACCGTGGAGATCTCAGATACGAGGTCGGTTGAATTAAGGCAAATTCTTCGATATCTTGTAAGCCATTCCGTGAATATCCTCCAGTTCTTGATATTTTGAGGGTATATAACTTCAAAAACAGAGAAAGAAATAACAATTTGAAATTTCAGCCTGTATGCAACAGCTTACGGTATGAGATATCGAAGGATAACGAACTTAAAAGTATAAAGTACATACACCAATAATTCACAATTATGAATTCGAAATCAACGAAGACAATGCTAGTTTTGAGTTAAATACTCGTAATCAACATGGACGTTTCATGTTCAAATACTGAATCAAATAATGAGATAATTCCATAACCCAATCAGAAAATATCGTTGATACAACCTTGGAACTGAACCACTCTGTAGATAATAACTTTGCAAGAGGAATATCGTTATTATAACGTTAATTTTAAGTTATAAACTCGGAGCGAACGTGGTTATGACGTAGAATTCCTGTAACGTAATATCAATCGGTGATACAACCTCGAAATTGAACCACCCTGTATAGAATACGTTAACATGTGCCTAATACCTATTCTGCCATGCAGAAAATGTAGGTTAATAGTCATTCAAATTGGAGTGCCTGGAAAAAATCGTAAAACCATCTAAAAAAGGTCAATTGTGAAGAAACATAGTGCTATCTCTGTCTAATCTTTGATAATGATATTAAATATCGTTGTTGATTTCAAGTTATGGACTCGAAATTAACATTGATACGACGATAATGTTATGAATACTCTCGTAGTTAACATAATACTGATGTAAATCCCATGACCTGAGCAGATAGAAACGTTGAGACGTCATATCAACTTCAATATGCATACAATCTATTAAATACATAAAAAACTTCAAAATAACAAACTAAAGGTAGTCACTGGCATAATTGTAAAAAGTCTAATAAAGAATAATAATAATAATCAAGTACACACAATTCAAACAGACCCGAGGGACTTCTTGATACTGCTGGAATGCCACTGCAACCAAGCCGCACTCAGCTGAATGGTCTCGACACTGCTGGACGTAATAACGTAACGTCGACGTAATTCCATGACCCAACCCGCAAATATCGTGTAACAATCTCGAAATTGAACCACCCTGTTGGGAAAGACTATACAAAGACCCGTACCTCTACCAAATACCCTATCAGGACTTGAAATATCGTTAATATGACGTTCATATCAAATATATGAACTCGAAATTAACATCGATGAAATGTTACAAGTAGTCATTAGCGCACATACGATAATTTGATTCGAAAATTCGAAAGCAACGTAAAATTTATGTTGATTAAAAGACCCAACCCGGAAATGACACCAACACAACGTTAATTAGATTAACCTAATCAATTCAAGAAATTATATTTAACAGTCTCTAGAAGAAACAACATTATATATATTATGTATATGATTTAAAAATGATTATCTGATTATCTAATTATCTAATTTTTTTTTTTTAGTTACTCTTTCATAATTTTCCCTGCTATAAACATGTATGTTTCTTGGGAATAATAATAAAGATATATTAAATAAGTAAAAATTATCGAACATATCAGGGGTATTCTCTGATACCGGTAGAGTCCCTAATCAGCCAGGTGGGAAATGAAGGTTCGAAGTTATGCGAATTGAGGTGTCCATCTGAACCATTGTAAATAAACAAAGTGCTGTGCTTCTGTCTAATCTTCGCTAATGATATTAAATATCGTTGTTACATCAGTAAATCAAAGTTATGAACTCGAAATTAACATTGATACGACGTTAACTTCATGGATATTCTCGTAATTAACGTAATAATGTTGTAAATTCCATGACCTGACCAGAAAACAACATTGATAACAGTCATAACTTCAATATTCATACTCTATTAAATACAAAAAAAAACATCTTCAAAATAACAAACTAAAGGTACAGTCACTGGCATGATTGTAAAAAAGTCCAACAAAGAAGGTAATAATAGCAATAATAATTAAGTACACGCAATTCAAACAGACCCCAGGTACTTCTTGATACCAGCAGAATCCCTCTTCAGCCAAGCCGCATTCAGCTGAATGGTCTCGACGCACTGCTGAACAGTCCTCTCTGTACCAGGCGCCTTATTTTCCAGGAAAAACTGCTCCACCTCGTCGGCCATCGCCTCCGAGGCGAAATTCTCCGTCAGGTATTTGACCAATCGGGCCAAAAGGTAGCCGCTGAAGCGCTCTTTGATTTTGGGCCAGTTGTCCTTGAAGAATTGCCAGGCGAGGCCTCGGCCGGAGCTCGTTAGTCCTACCGAGGCTATCACGAACACCGTGTCCTGCGATCTGACTTCGTCCTGCAACGAAAAACGCACGTCAATTTCGTTATTTGACTTGTTTTTGACGTTGATGTAACGTTATTTAATTTATTTACAAGAAAACAACTTGAAAATCACGTTAGTTTTATGTCCCACCGAGGCTATCACGTAACACCGTGACTTTGACTTGTTTTTGACGTTGGTGTAACGTTATTTATTTTATTACAAGAAAACAACTGCAAAATGACGTTAGTTTTATGCCCCACCGAGGCTATCACGAACACCTTTCACTTGTTTTTGACGTTGATGTAACGTTATTTATTTCATTACAAGAAAACAACTGAAAAATGACTGTAGTTTTATGCCCACCGAGGCTATCACCCACACCGTGTCCTGCGATCTGACTTCGTCCTGTAACGCGAAAAGCACGTCAATTCCGTTATTTGACTTGTTTTTGACGTTGGTGTAACGTTATTTATTTTATTACAAGAAAACAACTTGAAACGTTATTCACTTTATTACAAGAGATCAACTTGAAAATGACGTTAGTTTTATGCCCCACCGAGGCTATCACGAACACCGTGTCCTGCGATCTGACTTCGTCCTGCAACGCAAAACGCACGTCAATTTCGTTATTTGACTTGTTTTTGACGTTGATGTAACGTTATTCATTTTATTACAAGAAAACAACTTGAAAATGACGTTAGTTTTATGCCCCACCGAGGCTATCACGAACACCGTGTCCTGCGATCTGACTTCGTCCTGCAACGCAAAACGCACGTCAATTTCGTTATTTAACTTGTGATTGACGTTGGTGTAACGTTATTCATTTGATTTCAAGAAAATAACTTGAAAATGACGTTAGTTTTATGCCCCACCGAGGCTGTCACGAAAACCGTGTCCTGCGATCTGACTTCATCCTGCAACGCGAAACGCACGTCAATTCCGTTATATGACTTATTTTTGACGTTGATGTAACGTTATTCTTTTTATTACAAGAAAACAACTTGAAAATGACTTTAGTTTTATTCCCCACCGAGGCTATCACAAACACCGTGTCCTGCGATCTGACTTAGTCCTGCAAAGCAAAACGCACGTCAATTTCGTTATTTGACGTTGGTATAACGTTATTCATTTTATTACAAGAAATCATCTTGAAAATGATGTTAGTTTTATGCCCCACCGAGGCTATCACGGACACCGTGTCCTGCGATCTGACTTCGTCCTGCAACGCAAAACGCACGTCAATTTCGTTATTTGACTTGTTTTTGACGTTGGTGAAACGTTATTCATTTTATTACAAGAAAACAACTCGAAAATTACGTTAGTTTTATGCCCCACCGAGGCTAACACGAACACCGTGTCCTGCGATCTGACTTGGTCCTGCAACACGAAACGCACGTCAATTTCGTTATTTGACTTGTTTTTGACGTTGATGTAACGTGATTCATTTTATTACAAGAGAACAACTTGAAAATGACGTTAGTTTTATGCCCCACCGAGGCTATCACGAACACCGTGTCCTGCGATCTGACTTCGTCCTGCAACGCAAAACGCGCGTCAATTTCGTTATTTGACTTGTTTTTGACGTTGGTGTAACGTTATTCGTTTCATTACAAGAAAACAACTTGAAAATGACGTTAGTTTTATGCCCCACCGAGGCTATCACGAACACATGTTCAACTAGACTTTAAAGTTTGAACGGCGGCTGCGCCTCAATCTTTAAATCCCGCTCAACAATTAGTTTTCTTCAACGTTTCGACCGTATTCCCGCTAACTCAACACCAGAAATCAAACACATAAACTCACCGACATGGCGAATTCGAGCACTTTGTTCAACAACTCCGGATCCCTGGCAGCTCCCAGAGCTCTGCTGATCCTGTCCTTCTCTTCGTGCAAGTCCGTCGACCGGTACAGCTCCAATAATTTGTCGTACTCCTCTTTACCCCCCGCCCGCAGGATGGTCTTGTAGCAGGCGCTCCTCAAATCGGCAGGTAAAGTCTGCTCGGAGGAAATGTGAGAGGAAAACCTACGAATAATACGAGTAATATGTTTCATGTTCTATATAAATATCATATATCCATTTGGATTCTTGTATAGATGTACAGGGTGATTGGTTATATTTTAGTCAATAGATATCTCAGTTAATATTGGTCTCATAGAAACGTTTAAATGGGCAGAAGTGAAGTATTTTCTATTAGCATTCAGAATCTATTACTAGAAAGTGCAAAAAGCACCGTAAACCTACCACCCTATATTTTATTTTCCTAATCGAAAGAGCTCTTTCTCCTGATTTCAAATATTTTGTTGTTGTTGTTGTCACATTGTTTCATTATTGTTGTTTGTAATCAACTTCCTCATACCAGAATGTACTTTATTGAGGTAATCTGTCAGTTTTCGATAAATATTGATTCTGAGGCAGCTGTAAAATGCCAGAAATAGCAGCATTGTCGTCTGGTGTTCAATACCTGCCTTAGATCTATATCGAGAAAACTAAATTTTTCAAAAACTGACAAAAGATAACCTCAATAAAGTATATAAATTTGAAATCAGAAGAGAGAGCTCTATCGATTGGGAAAGTAAAATACACAGTGTTCCATTCAAAAAATACCATCTTATGTGAAATGTTTAGGTTTATGATGCTTTTTTGCATTTTCTGGTAATAGATTATGAATGCTCATTCTAACGTTTCTGCAAAAACCCTAGCTACCAATCTTTAATAGGATCAGATCATATAATTACAAAAATCGACCGCCTTCTTGAATTTCTCAATTTTGATAAAAGAATCATAATTTACGACCCACAAAACCGCCATATACCAATTTTGAATAAAATGGGATCATAATTACGAAACCCATCCTTCATTTTGAAGCAGCCATCTTGAATTTGCCAATTTCGACGGAAGAATCATAATCTCGGACTACGAAAACCACAGATACAAATTTTGAATTGAATCTGACCATATTACAAAACTCGACCGCCATTTTGAAGCCTCCATCTTGGATTTCTCAATTTTGATAAAAGAATCATAATTTCTGACCCAGAAAACACCCAGATACCAATTTTGAATACAATCGGATCATTTACCATAGTCGTTCGCCATATATTGGATCCGCCATCTTGAATTTCCCAATTTTGACGAAATCATTATAATCTCCGACCCCGAAAACTCCCAGATACTGATTTATTAGAATCGGCATATTATATTTATACAAACTCGGCCATATATTGTATCTTGAATTTTTCAATTTTGACGAAAGAAACGTAATTTACGACCCCGAAACCCCCCAGATATACCAATTTTGAATACATTTGGATCATAATTACAAAACTCCTTTGCCGATATTGTATCCGCCACCTTGAATTTCCTAATTTTGACGAACGAATCATAATCTTAGACCCCGAAAACCCCCAGATACCAATTTTGAATAGAATCGGAACATAATTACAGAACTTGACCGCCATATTGAAACCGCCATGATGCATTTTTCAATTTTAACAAAATCAAAAACCCATAGATATCAATTCTGAATAGACTCGGATCATAATATCGAAATTTATCCTCCATTTAGGACCAGCCATCTTGTTTCTTCTCTTAACAAAAATTTTATGATGCATTTGCATCATTTAGGCCAAGTCAGCTTAGATTGTTTAGTACATATACTTTCTAGAGAGACGGTTCATTTAGGCGGGAAAATAGTCTCCCTTCTTGTGCATATGCAGAAAGGATATTTTCCTTCGTCAACCCTCCGGCACACAGAGTAACGGCTGAAACTGGAAGTTACGCTGTTTGCCGACAATACGTGAAATGAATAGGCATTTCAGGGAATGTCGGATATCACTAATTGACGCCGACATATACGTTTCCTTCCTTCTCGCATGTGTTAAACAGAGGTAAATATACACTCAGTATATGAACACTGTACCAGTTCCTGCCAGATGAAATCGCTATAAATAAATGCTTGTTAAAAAGATTAAGAAAGACACATTTTTTCAACGTTGAGAGGATCCAACAGAGAAAGAAGACTTCATTGTTTGAATAATTGAAGAAACGTCTAACCACCTGCAGAATGGCACTAACCTGCTTCTAGCTTCTTTAATCGTATCTTCGTGATCGAGCCAAGCTAGCCGGCCTAAAACTAAGCCTCGCAGAAGGGTGTCCAAGTGGGTTTCCCCAGGGTTCTGATTCCAGCCCAGTCTTTCGTACAATTTGCGTAAAAGTTGCTTTTGGTACTGAAATAATATTATGTCAGGTTGTCAGGAACTCCCAATGGGTTTTGCATACTCCATATCAAACGTCTATACTCACTTTATCGTAATCTTCTTTATAATCAGTGTGTCCCAAGAGTTGTCCCATTCTTCCGAGGATGTTACCAATGGACGACCAAACGTTATAATCGGGTTCGTCTTCATAAGCCTTGAGTAATTTGAGAACCTCGACAGTGCTGGTATGACCCGCTTTCACCATGGCGAAAAGGTCATCCAAAAGTCCCAATCTGCATAATTGAAAGTTAACGTGAAGCTAATGATATTCGTACAACGTTAATTTTGCGTACAAACCGAGAAAGTTACACTTCAGACTTCGAAAAACCAACTCTATGTTGAGGTGTTTTTAATATAGCAACCAGAAATTAACATCAATTGAATGTTCAATCTTTGCTACAACAGGAAATAAACGTTGAAATCATCAGCACTTCCAATATCAAAATTGACAAATGAATCATAGATATTATTTTGAAACAATTAACAAATGTACCACAATGATGAAAAGCAGATATTGTGATACATTAGGTATAGGGCTTCCCTTTAGTGCGTTCCAAGCGATAAAAAAAACTCGAAGTTGGTATCATTCAACCAGACGTTTAAGTAAGGTTAATTTCATATTTGAACTCGAGATGAGTGGTCAATAGATCTTAGTTTCATGTTAATACTCAGAACAAACCTTATTCTACCACCCATTTTGAAATAAAAATAAACGTGTTTATCATGTTGATTACATGTTAATTTAATGTCACAACTTTTCTCATTAGTATAATGTAAATGAAAAAATCCCGAATCAATGTTACAGTTAATGTTATGATATAACTCAATGTGGATGTTTATATGAAACTTGTCATGTTACAGGTAAAAAAGAAACGTGTATACAACATTAAATTCATGAAACTGACAGATATAACGCCAGTACAACTATGAATTCCTGTTAATGTAAGGTGATTTTCTTGATGGAATTCGAAACTAATGTTCAGATAACGTTAATTTCACATTTGTACTGGAGCTTAACGTTTGAAATATGTAACTTTCATGTTAAACCTCGATATTAACCTCTAATCGAAGCCAAAAGCTTCATGATTCCCGTACTCACCTATCCAACGGTGGCAACGTCTGGTTCTGGATGGCCGGTATGAACCTTTCCAGCATCTGCGGCGGGTACTGCGTCCTGTAGAAGCCGATGGTGCCCGGATTGATCTTGATCCAGGCCGACGAGTCAACTCCGGGCACCGTGATCTCTGTACTTTGTGTTTGCAAGACGGTGCTGACCACCTCTTTGGTGGGTTCTTTAGAGGTGGAGATCGAGATGGGGATCATCCAGCGGTAGTCGGTTGAGGGTTTGGTACCGTCGGCAGTGAATTTTACTTGGGAAAGACAGAGTTTCACGCCATCTTTGGTGGGATGCTCGGTAACCTAACAGAGGGGCGAACGTTTCGTAAGACCTTAGACGATTTAGGGTTCACGTTTATGTACTGGGTATACAACTAAGAAAGGACGCCTAATGGTAGATGAAGGAAGTCGAGGTGAGTTGATATACAGGGAATTTCAAAAAACCTGACCCCCTTGCTAGGGTAGGTAGAACACTGCAAAATAAGTTGGGTTTGCTTGTCGTAACGGCATCCGTTTTCAAGATACAAGGTGTTGAAAAAATGACGTTTCTACACATTTTTCACGATTATGTCGAAACTACTTGCAACATTGTAATGACATTTTGTATGGGTGTTCCTTGAAATCTGACACATCGCATGAATTTGATTTTATATCTGACTCTCATAGAGGGCGCTACTTACACGGTTCGTACCGAGTAGTTTAGAACATAACTTTTTTGAGGTTAGATTTTTCAATCCAAATATGATATGAACTTGAACATCATTCAATTTTACACCGAAAAGGTACTCTTGGTGAAACTCGATACAATGTTCCGTTTTCCGAATATTTCGATTTGAAAATAATGGGGTAATAGCTGATGCTGGTATAAAATGAATTTTATTGAGTTCAATTACCTATTTATTCAGATCCAAAAACAATAAAATCATTCTTGTACTGAAGTTATTGATGGAACAAAGAATCATAAGTAGAAAATTAAGAGATATTCGACTAGAAACATGAAATATTGAATCAGTTAGAGTAAGTGTTCAAAATGTCCTCCGTTTCGACGAATACACGATTCTATATTCTTTTCTTGAGAATGTATTATTCTTTTAAACAGTTGAGAATCACCTGTTAGGTCATTTAAGTGATGTTCAATTATGTCTTACAATTCTTGACGTGAATTTACCTATGTAGCATAAACTTTCTGCTCAACATACAACTGAACTGTGTAATCCATGTTCTTAGTCGAATCTGTTTCGATGTTAATCAATAAGTTTAGCATCAGGAATGTATTGTTGTTTTTGATTTTCAATAAAAAGGCGATACATAGCTTTATACCAGCAACAGTTATCACTTCATCATTTTCAAACTAAATATTCCGAAAACGGAACACAGTATCGAGTTTTACCAAGAGTACCTTCTTGGTGTGACATTGAATGATGTTCAAGTTCACATCAAATTTGGATTGAAAAATCTAACTTCAAAAAAGTTATGTTCAAAACTTCTCGGTACGATCCGTGTAGCTAGCGCCCTCTATGAGAGTCAGATATAAAATCAAATGCATGCGATGTGTCGGATTCCAAGAAACTTTCATACAAAATTTCATCACAATGTTGCCAGTAGTTTTGACATAATCTTGAAAAATGTGTAAAAAAAATATGTTTTCAACACCTTGTATCTTGATAACGGATGCCGTTACGAAATTTTTTTACTGAGTAACTCCAACTTATTTTGCAGTGTTCCACCTAACCTAGTTAGGGAGTCAGGTTTCTTGAAACTCCCTGTATATGTGATAAAATATATTTTGCGTATTCATAACAGAAATACAGGGTATTATTTGAATTCGGAGCGAAACTTTCATGAATGTTGTTTCAGGAACGTCTCGATGTTATCGTCTGACACTCACCAGCAACTTACCTCTACTGACACAACACACGATGGCTCACTTTTTTGCCTTCCCTTCATGATTTGATTGCAAAAAATTGCGAATTTAGTGGTTGTTTAGTAATATACATGACCGCGAAGTCGAATGGAGGATAAATAAGTTCTTTCTCGGAGACGGTATTATTGACTCATTTTTCGGAACTATAGCACAATGAAAGCCTTCAACAGTGTATCTATATGTGATATATATCCGGGAGAAAAAGTGACATTTTATAACCTACCAACAGAGATGAAATGCCAAACTTTTTTCTCGCCACAGAAAAAAATAAAGTCTTCACTGGAGAACAAAGTAAGAAAGGATTCGATTGCCGCTCATCGACTGACCTTGACAACAGGAAACCCCATCTGCTTGGTCCACGTCGACATGATATCCCCCACGGGCTTCTCGCTGGCGTCCTCCAAAGCCGCCCACAAATCCTCCGTGAATGTGTTCTTGTACTGGTGCCTGGTCAGGTACAAATTCATGCCTTTGCGGAAATCCGCGTCGCCGATGTAGTGGTGCAACATGCGGATGACAGAGGCGCCCTTGTTGTAGCTGATGTCGTCGAAGATCTCGTCGATCTCAGAGGGATTTCCCACAGGCACCTCGATCGGGTGCGAATTCTTCAAGCTGTCCAGTTCTAGGATGATAACAATGAATTGCGATTATTATATCAATCTTCATTGCATTATCATATCCAAGCATATATAGTCCGCTATCTATCAAGCATGGTACATATTGGTCCTTCGAGCCGGATTCATTCAGTCAAACCTTCAAGACTGCCGAGTTCTTCACAAAGGATACAGAGCAGCAATAAATTAAATCAATGAATGAAGAAGGATTGCAATTTCCATATTAACCTTCATTTCATTATTATAATACAGGGTGTTCCTTAAAGACATGCTAATATTTGAGGGGGTGATTCTTTGACTCACTTTAAGATAAAAACCACAGTATGTAACATTTTGAAATTTTTGCACCGTTTAAGTCACATAGCAGACTGCATTTTTTCATCACGAAAAGCTATACAGGGTGGGCAAAAAAAACTATGCATATTTTCAACTTTGATGCCCTGTATCTCAAAAGTTAGGACGTTTACGACATACGTTCATATGAAATTTTATTCTTGAAAAGGGTCCAAAAATCGCCCCCTTGAAATATTAGGCTGTCATTAGGGAACACCCTGTATATCATACAACCATACAAATTCAGTCCACTATCTATCAGGCATGGAACAGATTGGTCTTTCGAGCCGGATCTACTAAAATCAAACCTTCAAGACTGCCAAGTTCTTCACAATTGATACAGAGCAGCACTAACTAAAATCAATGAATGAAGAATTGCAACTCGAACGCGATTCTCATATCAATCTTCATTCCATCATCATATATCATATGACCATACAAATACAGTCCACTATCTATCAAGCATCGAACGTATATTGGTCCTTCGAGCCGGATCTATTTATATCAAACCTTCAAGACTGCCAAGTTCTTCACAAAGGATACAGAGCAGCACTGAAGACTACCTAGAGTAACAGTGAATGCCGAGCAGCTGGAGCTTTCACAGGTAGCAACAGGCAGCAAATTTCAACAAGAACCAATACAAAATTATCAATATTCAATGCTAATTCAATTTGATTGGTGACGCCGCTGCATGCAATTAGATAATTAACCAACGTAGGTGATCCATAACTTACAGTGGAGGTGATATAAATCAGAAGGGGTGAAAGAACTTACAGTCACAACTCCACCACATAAACAATTCAATAATGACCAATGGTCATGGACATAAGGACATGTTTCGAAGGATTTATAAAAAGAAAATCATTATTGGTGGAAAAAAAAAATAGTTATTAAAAATATGAAAAAACCATTTATGACCGCATATGACCGCCGAAACATAAAGAAACTATTTTTAAGCGCGCATATTACGGGAGAGTAACTGTTAGGGAATCATGATAAAAGCTCAATAAGAGCTTAGTTTTCGAAAATAATATGATATGAATCAAATATTAAATAGAATCAACATGTCCTTATGTCCATGACCATTGGTCATTATTAAATTGTTTATGTGGTGGAGTTGTGGATGTAAGTTCTTCCACCCCTCCTGAATAAAATAATTTTCTAGGCCCTAGCTAGGGAATGTTGAAAACCCATAAAAATCATGACTTGATTGATCAAGGATGTATGCATTAAAAAAACGTCACACAAAATCTGTCATTAACGGGCCAGTCTATAAGAAGACACAGCATAATGAATGAAAATTTCAAATTATTCACCTAGGGCCTTGATGTAGGAGTCGTTGACGAACTGCGTCCATATGTCGTACTCGGGGAAGAGGAAGTCTACACATAGAAATTCGACGAAGGAGGCGTATCCCTCGTTCAGCCACAGATGCGTCCACCATTCCATCGTGACCAGATTGCCGAACCATTGGTGGGCCAATTCGTGACCTACCACCAGAGCAATCCACTGCTTGCTGAACGCCGACGTGTTGTGCGGGTCTACCAGAAGACAAGTTTCTCTGGAACAAAAAAAATGTCTTTGAAAGATGACCGATATAAACCTCAAACTAGTGAAATTGAAGCTATTCTAAGGGCCGGAACATGTTGGAGCTGTGAAAGATGGGAAAAGCAATGATTACTAGCGAAGCAATGAGAAGTTCAATTCTTTGCTATGTATGGCCTAGCACTGCTTAGGTACTGAATGCTGACGTGTTTTGCAGGTCTACCAGACGACTGGTTTATCTGAAAAATGACTTTCATTTGGAAAAATATCCAATATAAACATCAAACCTGCAAAATATAAGGTCCATTGATGGATTTATGATTCATGACAAAATTCACCACGCTACTCTAAGGCCAGGAACAAGTAGCTGTGAAAGATGAGAAAAGAGATGATTCCAGCGAAACAAATTCATAATCATGGAACTAGACAATATAACTTGTTTCATCTTGACGCCCCTAGCTCCATAATCGGACAAAAAAGATTCACTCATTCAGCCTTAACTGAATTCAATAAACTACCCGATAATATAAAAAATTGTAGAAATAATATAGGTACATTCAAAAATTAAGTAAAAGAACTGATTATTTCTGAGCGAACTGGATAAAATTATTCATGCCATTTTTTTTTCACAAATATTATTTTTTGTTTGCCAATTTACAGTTGTTGACATAGACATATAAAAAGAGGAGACGAAATTGTTTACATTTTGTCCCGATCCAACATCTTTTTCAGCAGAAGTCGATGATGACAAACTTCTGCGGATTGCCCTAGATCTACCGCCTGTGTTTAGAAACGAGGGATGATTTTACCATACATTGATTATATAATATACGTTTTATGTACCTATATTCATTCCGTATGATTGTTCTTTGTTTGAAATTTATGAATTCTGCTCTTGAACTTGTTCGGGTTTTCCTAATTTCATGATTATATTAAATTATAATGAATTATGGAAATAACTTTGGCAACGATGCATTAGCTTGTTTACTACGAAATTACGCAAAGTCATTCAATCATGTCATATTCCTACTTTACAGTGTTGCTGTGTTGTGTTTATAACCTTGTGTGTGTTTAAATTGATTTTCGGCGTTTTAGTGTTACAAAACGATCTAAAGACAATTATTATTATTATCTGTTATTATTAATCCACTATGGTTCGTCAGTGCGTGGTCTGTAATAAAGTTGACCATTCAAACCCTGAATTGATATTTCGACGGTAAGTAAGGTTATGCATGTTTCTTGTAACTTCAGCAGTGGTGTAGTTGTGGGGTATGTTATTCAACTGAGTCATATTGAATCTCACTTAATGATGGATCAAAATCAGGTAAAAAGGTCTAAGCTACTACACGAATATTTTCCAATAGATATAATATAATATAATAGCATTGTCATTGTTGTTAAATTGCCTTGCCTCTCGCTTGACAATATACACGGTGTTTCTTAAGTACGTCTTAAAAATTGAGCAGCATGTTGCTGAAGTCAAATTAAGAAAAAAAGTTCGTATAAACATAGTATGTCCGCAATTTATTCGTTTCAGAGCTACATAGTGTCAAAGTTTGATTGTTACTGCGGTTTTTTGTGAATAAATTTCAAAATGATCGTGATATTTGGGTGAGATACCATATTTCACTCGAATATCACGTTTATTCTTGAATTTATTGACAAAAAATAACAGGATAAAGAATCAAACTTCGACACTCTGTATTTCAGAAATGAATAACTTGCGGAGATTGAATTTTTCACACGTACTCAAGAAACACATTGTATATAGAATATCATATTATGCAATAGAATATCAGTGGAATTAATGATGTGTAAAACCCATATGTTCCTAATAAAAACAGTTGAGGAAAATATAAAGGAAAATTATTTGATGTCTGATGCGTGGAAACTCACATGTTATGTAGAAGATATTGTATCTTACATTTCCGGATTTGTAGTTAAAGGTGTGAAAAAATTTGTAGACTGTTCGAAATGCTTGAACTGTTTGGAAAGTGAAGATGCAACTTCTCAGTTACAAAAACGAAAAACTTATGGGAGGCTTTTGAAACCTTCTAAATTTGTGGTGGATCTATGCAAAGAAGGGGAAACATTTTTCAGATTTTTTAATAATACACAAGGAATTTTCAATCAAAAAAATAAAAATTTATCAAATATATTAATTACTAAAACTTTAAATAATGTACCCACTTCTGTAATCGAAATATTTGGAGACCATATTTATGATGCTGAAGTTCTATCAGAACATTCGATTCGTGTTTCGAAATTCATTTTGAAATCTTATTTCAACATAAGAATTTATATTATGAAACCATAAGAAAACTAGATGCAAGCAAAACAAATAGATCTAGAAGTATCAATACAAAAACAATATTATTCAGGAATGAATAAATATTTTGTAAATTGTGTATATGATGTACTTATTCATGGTATTATGTCGATATAATATTCCAGTAATAAATGAAGCTAGTTTGATCGTATTGTTTACATTTCAACATCCCTCCCAAAGAAACCTACGGCACTGGTCTGGAAGTTATTTGTTCAATAAATAAATAAATATATGAGATATTATTCAATTCTTTGCAATCTGTGGCCTACCACCAGAGCGATCCAGTGTTTACTAAATGCCGACGTGTTTTGCAGGGCTACCAGAAGGCATATTTCTATGGAAAATAATTTTCATTTGGAAAAACAAGCAATAGAAACCTCAAACCTGTAAAATGTGTACATCGATGGATTTATGATTTATGATGAAATTCATCAAGCTACTCTAAGGACGGGAACATGTTGGAGCTATGAATGATGGGAAAAGCAATGACACTAACGAAGCAATGGGATAGTTTGTTCATTTCTTTGCTATTCACTAACATTAAACATCCATCAACGACCATCAGAAGTAGGTATGCAGACAAATCAATGTAGGTGTACATATAAAGAAATGTATATCGACAATACAAACCTTAAAACTCTAGAATGTAGAGTAAATGAATGAATTCATGGTAAACAGAGTGTCCCGTAAAGACCACGTCAAACCTAGGGAGAATGTATATCAAAGGATAACCCACTTGCATATGACAAAATTCCTATTATAAAAGTCATAAAAGTTTTATTTTTTCTTTTTTGTAAATATCTACTACCAAAGTTTTCAATGAAAATATTTCTCACAGCCCCCCTTTAAAATGTTTGGAGAATGTTTTCAATGTATACGTTAAAATCATTCTTCAGCAATATTTACTGAAAAAATGGACCAGAAAGGTGTAAAATTGTACCAACCTTACAGACAAAACTATTGAGAGGGGCAATATTTCAAACAAACAAAAAATATCTCGAAAACGGTAAGATTTTTGTAATGGGAATTTTGTCATAGCAGGTGGCTTATCCTTTAATCTACATTCTCCCTAGGTTTGACGTGCTCTTTACGGGACACCCTGTATACAAAATCAATCCAGCTACTCTGAGGCCGGGAACATGTTGAAGCTGTTATAGATCAGAAAAGTGATGATACTAGCTCAGATTGGTGCTCAGGACTGTCAAACATTGATTTTGTGTTCAGGTTGTCGGATTTGTTTGGAGTCCATTGGACACATTTTCAAGTGGAATATTGTTTTTCAAGTCAGTTTTTAAAACTGTGCAGTGTGATCGATAATTTGTTAATCGTATTATGTAATAAGTAGAAAGATAGTATGTATATTGCAATTCGAGTGAAAGGTGATTATTAACAGGAATGAATATATCGAATGCCATCAGCAGGGATAAAAACGTGTTTTGAACAATTATTGACATTTGATCAAATGCATTGAAACTTATGCTCTTGAATAAGAAATATAATTTTTATTATTGTTATGCAAGTCCCTATCGCATTATCGTTTGTTGAGAATATTAACTGGGAAAATCGGTATGTCAATTAGAACTAATTAGTATACCGTTAGATGGTACTAATGAATTTGCATTTTGCTTACATGATTTTTCACAGAGAAATAAATACATACTTTTATATTCGTTGTCCATAGTAATTACCACCATCCTAAGGAATACCAAACTATCATTGAAATGCATTTTTCACACAAGTGGTAATATTCCGATGAAATACGTGATGCTTAATGCCAGTATTGTTCGATGTCAAATGATAATTATAATCATTTGAGTTAATAATTCCAATTCACTTGTCATTGCTAGCACATTTCAGATCCTTTCTATTTGATGAACGCTAATTAAAATACTGTATGCTTTTAAATCTATGAAAATGAATAGTTCCATGTGACTGATCGACTGATTATTTACAAAAAATATCTCGTGAAGTAATAAACAAAAAAAGTAATTGTATTTTGTTTTGATTTCATCGAAATTAATTCAAACCATACAATTGGCAATGTATTTCAGGAAGCGTCAATTGTAGTTCAGAATAGTCACTTGTTTTTCAGAAAACTAAATTGTTTTTCAGAATAGTGAGAGCACTGTGAAGTGGACTTTATTTTTGCAAATGACGGATTTTGAAACTGAATTGATATTTTCTGACACATTGGAAACATTCTGAGATCAAGTAGACAATTTGGAAATACAATTGACTCTTCCTGAAATTGCAGTACAACTAATTCTTTCTGAGATACAAATATTGCTATCTGAATCAGAAGACTATTGTGAAATACAACAGACAACAGATGCTTTATGAATTATAAGTCTATCCTGAAATATAATTCATACTTCCTGAAAGAAAGAAAATACACTTTATTGTCAAACAAGAAATAGTCTTGTTGACAAAGCTCCACTCAAAATGATAATGATTTCTGAAATACAAATGGCGAATTCAGATGCAACTGTCTAATCTGAATCACATTGGATGCTTTCTGAATCATGAATGGCAAATTCTACAATTGACGCTTTCTAAAATTCAATTGACCATTCTAAACACAAATGATACTTTCTAAAACACAAGTGATTAATCTAAAACATAATTGAAGCTTCCTGAATTACAAAAAAATGACATAAATTCCTAAATTCAATAGAAGCTTTCTAGAACGCTTTTTGAGATATAATAAAAGTGACTGATTTCAAATACAAAATACAATTGACGGCTTCTGAAAAACAACTGATTATTTTGAAATGCAATTGATACTTCCTGAAATGAAAGTGCCTAATAATTGACTCTTTCTAAAATACAACTGACTATCATGAAATACAAATAATGATTTCTGAAATACAAATATGATTAACGCTTTCTGAAATACAAGTGACTATTCTGATATACAAGTGAGGATTCCTGAAATAAAAGTGACTGATTTCAAATACGATTGGCGCTTTCTAAAATACGAGTGATTATTCTGAAATACAATTGATGCTTCCTAAAATAAAAGTGACTAAATTCAAATACAACTGATGCTCTCTGAAATACAATTGAGGCTTCCTGAAATTAAAGTGACTTGTTTCGAATATAATTAACGCTTTCTGAAATACATGTGACTTTTCTGATATACAAGTGATTATACTGAAATACAACTGATGCTTCCTAAAATAAAAGTGACTAAATTCAAATACAACTGATGCTCTCTGAAATACAAGTATTGTTGCTTCCTCAAATTGAAGTGACTTGAATATAATTGATGCTTTCAGAAATACAAGTGATTTATCTGAAAAACAAGTCATGCTTCCTGAAATAAAAGTGACTAATTTCAAATACAATGGGCTTATATCACAAAAAAAATTTATTTCATAATTCGATAGAACTCACCCAAACTAGCTCACCACCGCAAACCGTTTCTTGCTGTGAGCTCCCTACGTTTTGTAAAAAATTATTGAAATCCCCGATTTTTCGGACCTCTGAAAACGAGGCGATGATGTGACGTCAAAACCCTAATACTGAAACAAGACTATTCCAGACAGAGATGAATGATACATGATTTCTCACAAAGCACCAAGATTGGTGAATCGACAAGTAGATTTTTGGGACATAGATGTTAAGAACAAGAAGAAGATCAATTCTAACCTATATTAAGTTTCTGCAACTTTCGAATATTAAATTGAAATATTTCGACAAAAGTATGATTGAGAAATATTCTGTGCCTAATTGCAATTAAAAAAACATCATTTAGCTGGGAATTTTGAGAAGAAATCTCGCCCCTCACTGGGTAAACACAATATTATAGTAGTAGTTTTGCTTTGCAGAAATTCATAGGGAAATTGCTTGAAGAATGAATGATCCATCTCCTAGAAGAACATTCAGGGGGAGATGCAAGCAGTATCTAGTCTTGGGAATAACATTGTTTCATACCAATTGATCATATTGTTGCATAGGTAAACATATCGATCAGTGACTGATTTAATGAGGATTCTCCCTCGGAATCTCCATATGATGGGTATTCTGATGTTAAATATCCTTTCAGGTGAACAATTTTCCAATGCAACTATAATAGGTACAAGCAATGAAAATTGAATGAATATTGTGGAACTTACCTTTCAGATTTTCTATTCCTCATTTCAGCACTGAGGAACTGTGGAGATTTTCTAGTATGTTAGAGACATAAAAATAATTAACCATTTCCAAATCAATTTTCGGTAGATTATCTGATGAGCCTTTTACAAATCCTGATTCAACGTTCATGTTTATATTCAATATATCAATAATATGTATTAATATGATATAAAGCAAGATTTGGAGGTTATTTTCATTACGTGTCTTTTCTTCTCATTTTAGACGACATAAATAACTTCGGAATCGGAATTCGAGACTCGATGCAAATGCAGCTCCATGTGAAACGGGTCAACACAGCAATGTTGCTGCGTTCATGAAATATATTGGATTATTGTGAAATTGTCATGGTGCAAATGGTTTTGAGATTGAGACATTTCGTTGTTTAGAGATTGTTTATATTCTAATGATTCAACCTACCATCGACAAGTTGAATATATTTTTGTGCAGTAGTGGTAGTTGATATCAAAAGATATTTCAATATCGATTTCTATCTCTCGGATATTTTGTTTAGATGATATGGCAACAGTGATAAGTGTCACACATGGGTCACTCTATGGGTCACACTCATTGGTTCCAGGCGAGATGAGGTTTCTACGTCATAAAGAGGGTCCGTTTTCAGAAGGTACTATTATTTATGTCCAAAAATAAAACATTCCAGTTAATTTTTAGATGGAATTATGTCGCCAATCGTTATTTATGTATAAAAGGATCATTATAAACATAGTTTGAGTTGAAAGTTCTACTAAGGTGTACACGCCCATTGGCGCTTTCTGAAAAACAAGTGATTATTCTGAAATACAACTGATGCTTCCTGAAATGAAAGTGACTAATTTCAAATACAATTGGCGCTTTCTGAAATACAAATGATGCTTCATGGAATTGAAGTGACTTAATTTGAATATAATTGACGCTTTCAGAAATAAAAGTGATTAATCTGAAAAACAAGTGGTGTTTCCTGAAATAAAAGTGACTAATTTCAAATTCAACAGGCGCTTTCTGAAATACAAGTGATTATTCTGAAATACAAGTGATGCTTCCTGAAATAAAAGTGACTTATTTCGAATATAATTGACGCTTTCAGAAATACAAGTGATTAATCTGAAAAACAAGTGATGCTTCCTGATATAAAAGTGACTAATTTCAAATACAATTGACGCTTTCTGAAATACAAATGATGCTTCATGGAATTGAAGTGACTTATTTTGAATTTGATTGACGCTTTCTGTAATAGAAGTGACTATAAATACAAGTGATGCTTTCTGAAATAAAAGTGACTAATTTCAAATACAATTGGCGCTTTCTGAAATACAAATGATGCTTCATGGAATTAAAGTGACTTATTTCGAATTTAATTGACGCTTTCTGAAATAGAAGTGACTATAAATACAAGTGATGCTTCCTGAAATAAAATTGACTAATTTCAAATACAATTGGCGCTTTCTGAAATACAAGTGATTATTCTGAAATACAAATGATGCTTCATGGAATTAAAGTGACTTATTTCGAATTTAATTGACGCTTTCTGAAATAGAAGTGACTATAAATACAAGTGATGCTTCCTGAAATAAAATTGACTAATTTCAAATACAATTGGCGCTTTCTGAAATACAAATGATGCTTCATGGAATTGAAGTGACTTATTTTGAATTTGATTGACGCTTTCTGTAATAGAAGTGACTATAAATACAAGTGATGCTTTCTGAAATAAAAGTGACTAATTTCAAATACAATTGGCGCTTTCTGAAATACAAATGATGCTTCATGGAATTAAAGTGACTTATTTCGAATTTAATTGACGCTTTCTGAAATAGAAGTGACTATAAATACAAGTGATGCTTCCTGAAATAAAATTGACTAATTTCAAATACAATTGGCGCTTTCTGAAATACAAGTGATTATTCTGAAATACAAATGATGCTTCATGGAATTAAAGTGACTTATTTCGAATTTAATTGACGCTTTCTGAAATAGAAGTGACTATAAATACAAGTGATGCTTCCTGAAATAAAATTGACTAATTTCAAATACAATTGGCGCTTTCTGAAATACAAATGATGCTTCATGGAATTGAAGTGACTTATTTTGAATTTGATTGACGCTTTCTGTAATAGAAGTGACTATAAATACAAGTGATGCTTTCTGAAATAAAAGTGACTAATTTCAAATACAATTGGCGCTTTCTGAAATACAAATGATGCTTCATGGAATTAAAGTGACTTATTTTGAATTTAATTGACGCTTTCTGAAATAGAAGTGACTATAAATACAAGTGATGCTTCCTGAAATAAAATTGACTAATTTCAAATACAATTGGCGCTTTCTGAAATACAAGTGATTATTCTGAAATACAAGTGATGCTTCCTGAAATAAAAGTGACTAATTTCAAATACAATTGGCGCTTTCTGAAATACAAATGATGCTTCATGGAATTAAAGTGACTTATTTTGAATAAGTATAATCAACGCTTTCTGAAATAGAAGTGACTATGAATACAAGTGATGCTTCCTGAAATAAAAGTGACTAATTTTTCTGAAATACAATTGATGCTTCCAGAAATAAAAGTAAATATTCTATAAAGCAATTGACGCTTTCCGAAAAACCTCTGAAAAATCTACAGAAAAAAGCCGAAAAAGGGGAATCGAAAAGCGACTCACCTGTAAGTAACCAGGCCCCAATTCTCCATGGCCCCCGCGCTGAAATCCGCGATGGCGATCAGATCGATCTTCGGCAGCGGGTACGCGATGTCGAAGTACTTCTTGTAGTACGGCAGCACCTTGGTGGCCACCTCGAGAGCGAATTGGCCTTGGGCCTTCTTGCCCTTCGGCGTGTACACCCTTACGAGCACGCCATCGCTGGATGTGTCTTCGACGTAGTCGTACTCGCCGATGACGGCTGCTACTAAGTACGTCGACATTATCGGGGTTTTTTCGAATTGGTATCTGCGAAAATCATTTTCAACTTTCCAATATCATGATGGTTTTTGAGATATACATATACAAAAAGGAGGGTTCTCAATTTATAATGGATTTCCGAACCCACAGAAAAAAAATTGGGGCGCCTCTCAAAATTAACGCAACTAACATTAGGGTCCCTTGATTTAAATTGACGTATTCGTCATCTTAACAGGGTATATACGGACAGATCCTCGTCACCTCTCACTCTAAAGTGTTTGTGAAACAGTTATATAGTTCTATCCTCATTCATTTCTGGGAATAAACACTAGATTTCTGACATTTGTTGTTTTTTTAGGTTATATTGAGGACATTGGTGTATCATACGTAATTTCCACAAGTAATTTCTCATTCAACTCTACATATTATATATCCAAATGATGATGATAATTTTCGAGTTTTTGATTTTTCAACTCCAGCATAATCTTTCTGAGGCAGTGAGCAAATGTTTCTGAAAGTTTAATACGTTTTACCAAATTGGACTGTTCTTAGGCAGTACCTATCAATACATTTTGATTTCAGACTAAGCTTTGATTGAGAAATGGTGAAAAATGTTATGTAGGTATTTAAACTAATGTGCTCATATGTCATGTGTGCTGTATAATTTTTTAAATGGTAGGGTATATGCCTCTTCTTTTAATCCACCGTTTTAATCAAAACTGTTTCTATTAAAATGCATTCAAGAACTTGTGGAGTGGATAATTATAGGCAGAATGAGAAAGTATAATATGTGATTTCCTATTAGTTCAACCTCGAATATTTTGCTGATGTATTTACCAATTTTCCCCATTCGGTCACTTCACTTTCCATGTTCAAATTCAAATTTCCCATCCAACTGATTGATACAGCTTAATGCAGCACATTTTACCATCCTTCCAAAACAGAATTGAATAATGTCGTATTGAGATCAAGTATGAAATTAAGATTCTGAGAGATCTCTTTTAATGTCTATGAATGTGACGTGACAGCAATGTCATGTCAGGGACGAAAATACAAGAAACCAAAGTCACTAGATGATTAAAAGAGATAGGAGCTATGATCTATCCGTACCCTGTTAGATGACAAATACGTCAGTTTGCATCAAGGGACCCTAACTAATAACAATTTCAAATTTAAACATGAATTTAGTGTGCTTAATCTATGGTAAAACTCACGTTAATAATAACGCCAATTTCATGAAATTAGCGTTAATAATAACGCCAATTTCATGAAATTAGCGTAAAAATTACGTAAACAACAAGGAATTAACGTGAAAATAATGTGAATTTCATGAAATTGATGTTGGACTAACGTAATACCATAGAATTCCCGATATTCTTGTAACTTGAGGTTTTTTTGATAAATTGGACTACCTGTAACAAAGCAGGCACAAAGTCAAATAAAATGGGCGCCAGTGACTACTGAGGAGGTCTCAGGGGATGGGTTCTTGGGCCGAATTTCGTAACAAAAACACTAATTTGGTGGAGCAGCTGATATCCTTTTAATTCGGTGCAAATATCCGCCTTATGGGGTACAATTATCTTCAAACTTGTTCGTATCTAAATAACAGGTACATCGGCTCACGCAAAATAAATCTCTTGGTGCACAGAAAGAACCACTGGTTATCAGATACAAATATAGTACAAAGAATCAGAGTACCTACCGCGAAAATTAATTTCTGTAAATCCTTTTAGCATTCCAAAAAGCGCGTGGAGATAAAAAGTGGGACGGCCGAGTTTTTGCCGGTATCGAACGACTTCGCGAATTTAGTTGAAATATAGGAAATCAATATAAGTACGGACATCTGCATTCGAATAGGAGAATCAACTCAATACAAATTGGCAGAAACCTGGATTTCGTTACATACCTAACCCTCAGGGAAAAAGTTTGTACGCCTCTGAAGTCGAGATGTGCATGCTCTTTTATATGTTGTTGAAGACAATTTTTAATTTCTACATCTTTTCATAATGATTAAAATTTTTTACTGTTTTTCGACCTCTGACAATTTTTCGCCTTTTTCAAATCTTTAACTAATCACAACAAATTTGGAACTCTCCTGACGTGTGAATTTCTATTACCTAATTTTACCTTATACTCTTTAGGATGGTGTTGAAGAAATTTCTGAATTCTTATATCATTTCATATAATTCGAATTTTCAACTGTCTTTCAACCACTGACAATTTTTCATATAAAACCAACATTAAAATAACATCCATTTCGAATCATAACATGAAACTAATAATGAAACAAGATTGATTTTCTGGAATTAATGTTGTATTAGGGTCAACTGACGAAATAATATCGCCAATTTCATGAAATTAACGTAAAAATAACGCCAATTTATTGATGTTAAAATAACATTAATTCCATAGAATTCACGTTAAATTATTGTGAAATTCGTGAATAAAAGAAGATCAAAATGGTTGATAAGCAATAATGGGGAAGTTTCCTTCAGATGAATTTTCATAAAATAAGTTCGGAACTCTCCAGTTTTATGTCCACGCTGTACAGAATGACGACCGATTAAGTCGTTTTCATTTTCAAATTGAGTCAAATTCTAATTTTCGGGGCGGCAAATTGTGACGTACATTCCGAATCTAGTCTGAAAATAGCTGATGGTGAAGAATATAGGGAGCGAATAGCTAACGAATGAAAAACGAATGGAAAAATAGAAGAAGTGAAACTGATAAACAGAAACATACACAGCCACAAATGCACTCGGAGCAAGGATGAAGAAGATAGTTGGCTTCATTTTGACAGGTTATGGTTTTTTTATTTATGCATTGAAATATCTCGAATAGAGCTTGTTCGTAAACGAAAATATCATTGAATCAATAAATCACTATCGGCTACATTCAATGATAACGTCCTGCCATCGGTCAGAACAGAATGAAGCCGAAACCCATGGCTCCTTCCTCTTGTTGTGCCTGTCAGTATTTTGAGTGGTGTGGAGGGACTCAAATGAGTATTAGGCGCTGTTGCAAGATATAATCTGCCACTTTCCTAGAAAATAGATCCGTTTTATTAAGGAACGAATTCATTAGCATAAAAATGACTGACAAGTTATGAATAACATATTGTAATATAACGATAGTGAAAAATTATAGATACTATCGCAAAATATCATAATTTATCATTATAGGTAATCAACTTCATTCAGCTAATGACAGATTTATGGAAATTATTCATAATACTTGACAAAGTCGGATTGAACAACCTATTATATGCCATTGCTGTTATGATACAGTTATTATGCATTCAAAGATCAATTTCCGAAAATCTAGACATACTGATGATGTCGGCAACGTCGTACTGGCACAGGGAATCGTATTTCAACTCTGTGTGAATGTGGATTTTCAGAAAGTACGTCAAAGGAATGGTGGAGGAGCCATGTTTCTCTTTTAATTATTTTTTTCTGAAGTGAAATTTGATCTTACGAAAATAAGAAAAAATACGTATACAGTGTGACCCACTTAAGACCGGAGCACCCTTATAAAATCTATAGTTTTTAACCGATTTCTTTTTTTTTTTGTTCTAGCAGAAGGACTATCCGGAGATCTACGTTCAACAATTTTGCAAAATAAAATTTCAATCTACAGGACATACTATGTTATTTTTCTCATGTTGAAAAATGTCAAATATCATCAGCGATTCGAAAAAAATGGACCCCACTACTGAATTCAGCATCCTCCAATTAGGTTGAGCGCAAAATTTGAAGAATGCTGAATTCAGTGGTGAGGTCGATTTTTCTTGAAAAAAATCGCTAATGATATTTCGCAAACAAAATAAAAGAAATTGGTCAAAAACTATAGATTTTATAAGGATGCTCCGGTCTTAAGTGGGTCACACTGTATATCAATTTTTTACAAACTTCACAGTGAGATAAAAACCTCAATGAAGGAAACTTCCCCATTGACGACCTCAGTTTATTTAATCGAGATATCAAAGAAGACTGACTTGACATATCGTTAACACTCACTTTATGAGATCACCGTCGGCTTGACTATTCTTTACTGGCATATTAGATAAGGCAACCAAATGCTTAGGTACTGTAAGGCTTATGTCGAAGGTGGCTTTGTGCGCTGGTTCGTCCCAACACGGGAAACAACGTCTGGCGTCTGTCGACTCAAATTGCGTCACCGCTGCGTATGTGTCTTCTCCTTTTTCGTTTACGTATTTACTCCTGCGAAAAAATAAAAATAACGATATTTGTCTCTAAAAACTTCAATTAGTTGAAGTTAAATTTCGTGATTTGATAACAAGATCTACCCGACCCACCCCCTCAATCTGAGTCAAATCCATGGCACAGCGATTCATTTGCTGTCATTGAGTTGAAACAGCAAGCAAATGAACCCAATCAGTTGGAATTGAACCGGCAAGGAACAGGTGTGATGTATCAAATGTAATTTTATAATATACACCTATGTATCCCTCAAATGTGATTTTCAATAATAATCCAGAGTTATAAGTTGATACGAAAAAAGCTGTATTTCATCAGGAACTAGAAAGTTGACCAAAAGTCCGCATTCAAGTTGAGATTATCGTTTCAAATGACCCTGTCTATCTATAGTATATTGCATGTTCCATCCCACCCCCCGTGTAATTCAGATATCATCATTATTATTATTAGTCATAAATAAATACTTGTTTCAGGAATTGATAGGATCGAAAGGTGACTAATTGGTCATTAGTGGATCGTGTCAGTCTTTATTAATTGGTGGAAAATGTGATTTGTGGAATTTTCAATAATAATTCAGGATATAAGTTGAGACAAAAAAAACTAGATTTCATCAGAAATTGAAGAGTTGACCAAAAGTTCGCAATATTTGAGTTGAGATGATCGTCTCATTATTATTATTATTATTAGTCATAGATGAATACTTGTTCGGGAATTGATAGGATATAAAGGTGACGCAACTAATTTATCATTCGGGTTCGGGACGAGGTGGTGAATCATGTCAGTCTTTCGTTAGATGTCAGTCTTTCGTTAGATCTCATTGCGTACGGCCGGTCTACTCAGTGCTCTTATCAGTTTCAACAAGAATCTAGTGCATATCGCGGAATAGTATACAGGGTTTTTCACGATGAGCGTTAGTAAGAAACGTCTAATCAACGCTCATCGTGGATCACCCTGTAGTGTTTAACGAGCACGGAACGATAGTCATTTTAATTAGGAATAATCATTCCGTGCGAGTTATACACTATACTTTTTCTACGGCCTGTCAGAGGTAACAGTGACATTTTTATTTCTTCGGCTTGTAGCCATCTGATTTTCTCTTAAGTAATGCTCATCTATTATTAGACAGATCTGTCATTGCTTGAAATAAAGCATTTCGTGGGAGATGAGATTTTGTGGAATGATAGCAATTTTGTGTTACATAGCCTTAGAAAAAGAAATGTTTTAATTCTACAACTGTGTTTCTTAAAAAGAGTGATAATAATGTGTCTTTCAAATACATCTTTCGGTATAGTGATTACATCGCGTTATTCGGTGTTGTGTTGGTGTTATTGTGAAGTGTTTTGAGACTTCATATGTGGACTATATGCAGATTTCATACTGGTGAGTTTTTTAATTTTTCCTTACACGTGATAGGCACTTTGCGAGAAAATAAATTGATTTCTTACTCCAAGGAACAAAAATGATTTTTTCGGCAATCCTCCGGGAAGTGCTCACTTCCCGGACTCTTTTTCTTTGAGAAAGTAACATACTTCCCGGACGCGATTTTACTAAATATACTGCACGCTAGCACAAACCACGCCCACCATAATACGTCATATCTCCAAACATTACCGATATACTCGGAGTCAGCACATCACACTAAATATACTGTGCTCCAACGCAAGAATACACTTTTTATGATTTTGACACGAATTCGACTGAAGCTCTCTCGTTGTCAATCTCTTGTACGCAGTAAATTCATATACCCAAATGGTCTACTAGTTAGCGCTGTCGACTTTCAGTCTGAAGGTCCATGGTTCGAATCGCTGTGAACTTGAACTTTTTTTTGCAACTTTTTTTTTCACCAATGTTTTTTTACTTCATTCTGGTTTTCATTTTTCATTAAATATTTGAAGTCAAATAGGTAAGTGCGTTTAGGATAAACAGTCTCATTTTATTCAATTTTGTTGAAGAACTCAACTTTTGAAATATATTATTGATCAATGTGTTTCTACACTCCATTCGGTTTTCCTTCCTCAAAAATATTGCAATCAGGGATAGGTTAGTTCGTTGAGGATAAATAGTCTCTGAGTTTTGCCTAAGTACTTCAAAGATGAGATATTACGGTGGACGTGGTTTGTGCTAGCGTACAGTATATTTAGTAAAATCGCTTCCCGGACGAGGCCGGGAAGTACCACATCGTTGTTATCACTGTAACTATGAAAATCTTGGTAGATATGGTTTTGATAAATGCAGATGATAATTACCATAGCAGCGAAATATGTGCTGACAACTATATGGCATGAAATTATTTGACATTTTGATTTTTGAAAGTTTGGTTGCAATTAAAGCAATAAACTATCGAAAGCAGCTGCGATAGTGAGTTTGATAATGTCCATACGAAATTTCCAATGTAACAGTTAGTAGGTATAGGTATTCCGTTCAGATTTATATATGGAAATGTGTCTCATTGATTTATTCTATATGGTTGCCGAAAAAATAGTGTACGCAACACGTCCAAAATCGTATTTTGTGCAACAAGTGGGAAAAGTTCAACTTTTCCTCACATGTTGCACACTATACTTTTTCTACAACTGCACTTATTCAAAGAATCCGAGTAATGTAAGTTATTGGTATTCATTTTATAATGTGGCACTATACCACATTGAATATTGTGACCAAAGAGTAGACGTCTTTCCTAGTTCCTCGAAGTATTTCAAAAAAGTACACTTTCCGAAAAACAATTTATTTCTGTATTTTTTTAGATTCCATAAATTCTTCGTACCAATATGCCAATTCATACTTTTTTCTTGAAATTTCCGGAAACAAATCAAACTTTCGCAGCTTTTTCCATTATCTCTGTCTCTGGCGGTATATTTATCAAAATCGTCACATGTCGGTACATTATTATACGTAATATTATTTATTATGAATTGTTGGAACAATATTTGATGGAAAATACGATTTCTATCAAAAGCACTAATGAGAACTACCCTAAAGAATTTAAAAAACTCTTGTGACAGTTGTGACAACTATTCAGAGCTGAACAGCAGCCAAGTTTTGATCGATTTTTGTTGATTCTCCATGGAAACATATGTGGTGTTGGCAAAGTGCCGTGAGAAAAAATATTTCTCACAGTATGGGCAATACATGGTTTTGAAACTAAGTAAGCTATGAGAAATGCGCTACTTTTCATAGCAGTCGTAGAAAAACAGTTTTTTTGGACTCGCAGACTCCCGGGAATTTTGTCTACTCGTCCAAAAAAACAGCATTTTCCGGACTTGTTACGTGAATCACTATTAGCAATCCGTAATGAGAATTTTAGTCTTCTCACAATACCGAATAAGTACGCATTATACAATGCTTTCATGAAGTGCTGAATGAATTCATTTTTAGCCCAATTATACATTCATGACGAGGAACCATCCAGTGTAATTTCATGCTCCTTTTCCTTCCAAGGAGGAAAAAATTTCTGGAAATTTGTTTAGTTACTATGGTAACGATACGAAATACACTTTTTCAATTGGTCAAAAATGTGATTTGTGAAATTTTCGACCACACTTCAAAGTGTGGTCGACTGACTTTGAACTTTCTGTTTTTCTTTTTAAAATACATTGGACCACTTAGAGTATGGGTGATTTCTACAATTTAGAAATTAGAAAGTTGACCAAAAGTTCGCAATCTTTAAGAGATGATCGTCGCATTATTATTATTATTATTATTAGTAGTCATAGATGAATACTTGTTCGGGAATTGATAGGATATGAAGGTGACGCAACTAATTTGTCATTCGGATTCGGGACGAGGTGGTGAATCATGTCAGTCTTTTGTTAGATGTCATCGTGTACGGTCGGTCTACTTAGTGTATCAGTTTCAAGCAAGAATCTAGTGCACATCGCGAAATAGTATACAGGGTTTTTCACGATATGAGCGTTAATTAGAAGTTTCTGGCAAACCAAGCTACAGATGAATTTAAAAATTTGTTGGTATGTATAAGTTGACATGATCTACACGACTATAATATTTTTAAACGATGCGGCGTTGTCACTTCTACTAGAAAGTAGCAACAACTATGACAAATAGAATACCCTGTACTTCATTGCATTTTTAGATTCTCCCTGAAGAGCTACTTTCATCGATGTACCACACATACGAGTTAGCGGGAATGATTACATAAATATAGGGTGTTCAAAATCGAGATTTAACAATTTGAGGATTCTTTTGTATCAAAACCATTCATTATCGGTCAAAACGGCTTTCATGTCCCTATCTTGACCTTTGATTTACTATCTACGTCAATTGGAACAGATACAGGGTGATCAGAATTCAGACTCTTGAACCACCCTGTATTTGTTCCAATTGAATGTCAGTAGATAGTTAATCAAAAGTTAAGATAGAGATATGGAAGCCGTCTTGACCGACAATGAATAGTTTTGATACAAAAAAATCCTAGTTGAACAATCTCGATTTTGAACACATTATATCTCTGTAATCATCCCCGCAAGACCCCGGGAGTGATAGATTGATTAAATCAGCTCTTCAGGGAAAATATGAAAATGCATGAATTCCCTTTGAGAAATCAAAGACGTGTAGAACATGTCAATTTATAATAAATGTGTTGCTTGGTTCGTCAGAAAGGTCTAATTAACGCTCATCGTGAAAAACCCTAAATTGTTCAACGAGCACGGAAATTAGTATTCCGTGCGAGTTATATACTATACTTTTTCTACGGTTGTAACAGATAACAGTGAAATTTTTCATTTCTTTGCGTTGCAGCCATCTGATTTTCTTTTAAGTTATTGCTCATCTAATAGACAGAGCTGTTATTGATTGAAATTTGACATTTCATGGTAGATGAGATTTTATGAAATAATATAATACAGTGAAGTCATCAGATACGGAAATGAAATTGATGACATATAAAGTACCTCATTGATAAAGAACAAAGTAAAACAAGGCCCATTATATAGCCGTAGAAGAAGGCCTGTTTCTAACTCTACAACAACTGTGTTTATTAAAAAGAG